GAGTGAAAAACTTGATAAAATTACTACTCATTCATTTATAGCAAAATCACATTCTAGCTATCTAAAGCATCTCAAAGAAACAATTAGTATTGATGAGGCTATTGTACTAGCAGATTTTGCAGAGAATTACACTTTTGTAGTACAAGACAAGATACAGAGTTACCATTGGAGCAAGAGTCAATGTTCTCTTCATTCAGTTGTCATCTACTACAAGAAAGTGAAATTGGAAATATCTTCTTTTTGTATAATTTCAGATGATTTGAATCATGATGTTGGATTTATCAATGAAGTTATGCATAAAACCATTAATCATATAAAAATTCATCTTTGTCCCACAATTACAAAAATTCATTATTTTTCTGATGGCTGTGCAGGGCAGTATAAAAATTGCAAACATTATTACAATTTATGTCACCATGCTCAAGATTTTTCTGTTCGGTGCATCTGTAATTTCTTGGCAACAAGCCATGGTAAATCTCCATGCGATGGAATAGGTGGCACTGTTAAAAGGCTTGTTGCAACTGCTAGCTTGCAGAGTCCAACCACAGGTCAAATACTGTCTTCTGAAGCAATGTTTGAATACTGTCAAAAGTCAATCAGTGGGATTACATTTGTGTACACCCCTGCTGAAGAGATGGAGCTAGTGAGAATCAAACTAAGTGATAGACTTTTATTAGCAACCACTATTCCTGGGACAAGAAGTTTCCATCAATTTTTACCTTCTTCTCATTATTATAAAAATGAAAAGGGTATGATGATGATTTTGCTCTAACATTTGACTTCAATAAACAAAAATATGAAATTAATAAATTTGACAATTTTATGATGTCACAATACCTATTTTGCAAATCTAACAATTTTTACTGGCTTGGTTTTTGAAATTGATAAAGAGAATGAAGATCTTATGGTTTTAATGATAAGTTTATGCATCCGCATTATTCATGTTGGTCGTACTACTGGCCAAAGTGAGATGATAATTGTTGGTTGCCAAAAATGTAATTTCTCTTGTTAAAACGCCGTCATCATCTTCTGGTCGTTAGTACCGCATCTCAAAAGAAGATGAAACTCTATTTGAACAGCTTTTACTCTGTCAGTGAAAATTAATGAATATTTTCTTATTTTCTTTATTTAAATAATACAAACTTCAATTTTAGTAATATTTGGTTATTTCTTTTTCTTTTTCTTTTTGAGCTTTTTTCAATAAAGTAGATTTTTTACTATTTTCTCAAAGAAGTTTGCATTTTAGTTTCTTATTTTTTAACACAGTATTTGAGCATGCAATCTAATATTTAAGCATGCAGCCAATATTTTGAAACAATAGCTAATATAGTATATATTAGTTATAATATAGAAATTATGTTTTCAATGTGTTGTATAGTAAATTATATTTCCACTTTTGAAAGTATTGATTATAAATATGCAAGTTATGCGAAGCAATATAATTTTTTGATTTTCTTTCAGAGACCTAAATCTTTCTAAGACCTTTTATTCCACAATGAGAGTAAGGTAACTCCAGAAATAAGTGAAATGTAAACCATGGTCACAAAACAAAAAACTTAAGTGCTGATATTTTAAAACAAAAAAATTATTCTCAAATATTAAGAACTAGGTTAATCTCTCTTCATCTTTGTATTCAATATCTTTAAAATTAGTCAGGTACCAACTTTCAACCATATTTCTCCACTAGAACTGAAATTATTCACACAAAAAGTATCGCTATAAATTCTATAATGGAGAATAGAGGCTACAAAAAGATTTTTTTTGTCTAAATTTCAAAATGACATATCCTAATAATGCTTTAAGAAACCAAAACCATCTTTTTTATAAAGATAGCCTAGGATTACCTACTTCATTTGAAAAAAAAATTGAATCCATGAAACTTGGGCAACTGCGGGAGTTAATGAAAGCCCAACCCATGGTAACAGAACAAAAATGTCAACTGATCATTTTAAAATCTAATAACCATCAAAAAATTTAAATTTCACTATTTTCTTTACATTTTTGAATTCAGCACTCTTGAAAATGGACAGGTACTAATTTTCAGCCTCGTTCTTCCACTAGATCTTGAATTATTCATTAAAAAGTAGTAGTACAAAGTCCATAATGGCAGATGTGGAAAAAAATAAGGCGTTTTAGGCCTAATTTCAAAATGTCATAACTTTTGAACCGCTTGGATTTGGGAGCTCAAACTTTATATTTTTTCATGTTAGATTGATAGGTACCATTGGGTAAAATTTGAAAGATCTCTGAGAGGGTGACTTCAAAATTTCAATTTTTTGTCCCAGTTTTACACGGAATTACCGACATAGATAATTTTCTGTATGATAACATTCTGTATGATTTTTTTAGCGTCCTAATTATCAGAAATATAAAGTGTAAATTTTTTTAAACCCAATTTATATATATATATATATATATATATATATATATATATATATATATATATATATATATATATATATATATATATATATATATATATATATATATATTTATAAACACACACACACACACTACCATACATAAGTTAATCTCATTTATCTTAAACTCAAGACATTTAAAAGATAAAATATTAGTTGATACAGACAAATTATTGTCAATATAACTTATTATGCAATGACAGGCCTTGTTTTAAATAAAAAATGCTTGACACATTAGCCTAATGTGAATTTAAAGTCATAAAATTCTCTTTATTTTTTTTATTTTTTAAAGACATTAACTTTTTTAAACTACTGCAATATTATTAATTATCAAAAAACAAGTTAAATAAATGTAGAAATACTATTATGTTTATTTTTTTCAATTTTTTCATATTAAATAATTAAATTTAATATTACATATAAAAATGTTTGATATAAACAAATTTCTTTCTTTTCTCTACATTTGTATGAGTTAAAAGATATAAAATTTTTAAAATTATTATTTCCTAAATTTTTAATTGTGGCTTTGCAACTAAAAATGATATTTTTTTTAGATGAAAAAAAAGAGAACAACAAACAAACAAACAAATAATTTATTTACTTTATTTATTAAAAGTTCTTACTTTATCACCGATCTTGTTGAGATAGGAAAGATTATTTTTTTAAACACCATTTATTAAAACTATATAGCTGTATATACCTTTTATTAAAAAATAATTGCTGCACTTTAAGTTAATTTTAATTTTTGATGCAGTCTCAGAACACATTTAGGAGGAACTGAATTTTTAGTAAAAAAAAAATCGTTGGCGAAGGAAAACAAAAAACATAATGGTGATAAAAATAACCTTTTTTTTTAAGAATAAATAAAATTTAAATATTGAACAATATTTAGTAATAATTTTAAATAAATTTGACAGTGAAGTTAAACCCAAGTATTAACTTTAATTTTATTTAACTTAAATATATTTTTTAAATCAGAATTAAAATATATACTTATTTAAGTATTTAAGTCAAAATTAAATTCTATAGTTTCTTTATCAAAATAAAATTATATATTTTTATTAAATTAGTTTTAAATTAAATCATATTTTTCTTAAGAATTAAATTTTATATTTATTATGATCTTTGCTTCAAGCTTGAAGTATTAGCTATTTTCAAGCAAACAAATCAACCATTACAATAAAACAAAAAATAAAAACAAAGTAAAAATAAAATATCAAAATGTAAAACAAAATTTAACTTTTTTTTATTACTAAATAGAAATTTACGTAAACTTTTTGTACTTACAAGATGATAAATAAAAGTTTTTATTATATATTTCTTTTATGGGTTTTTTTTTTTTTATGTTTCATTTAATAACTTCATTTAATAACATTTAATATACAAAAAAAAAAAAAATTTGTCATTATCTATAAATAACTTTGCTTTCTGTTACTAAATATTACGATAAAATAATTAGCTTGATAGAGATTAAGTTTTTGTGGTTTTTAATTTCATCTGAATTTTTTTCATTAATAATTCCCGCTTTTATCAAACATAAATGCCATTCAATCTTTTGTAACAAACTTTTTCACATAACCGTCATTCAATTGTTAAGGTAGTTTTTTATAAAATTAACTATTTTATCTTATTGCTTATCGACTAATTTAAAAAATAAATAATGATAAAAAGTTGCTTAATGGAAATCGCTTTAGGCATACATAAAATAGTAAAATACGTATAACCGTATATAACGAAATAATACGTAAAACTGCTTTAGGCATACATAAATTGCCAGCAATGCAACGATTTAAACAATTTATGTTATGAGGTATTTTAATAAATATACCAACTTAAAAGAAATTTTAAAAACACAGCAAAAATGACATTATAAGTAATCATAAATGATAACATTAAGTAGTATAAATAAGAAAGTTTATTTATTTATTGTAATAATTGTTAAAAATAGTATGTAAAAATAGTATATATTAAAAATAGTAGCCTCATGTAGTACCAACTAAGTTTTTACTAGAATTTATGACTCTTCTACGAAAAAGTTTATTAACTTTGATCAGGTGTAGTTTTTTTTTTTTTTTTTTAAAAAAAAACTACACCTGATCAAAGTTAATAAACAGAAATTGAATATATATATATATATATATATATATATATATATATATTTAAATATATACATTTAAATATATATATATATTTAAAATATATATGTATATAAAAAAATATATATATATTTAAATATATATATATATATATATATATACATATATATATATATATATATATATATATATATATATATATATATATATATATATATTTAAATACTTTAAAATGTTATTAAAATTAAATCAAATAATAATATAAACATACTTTGATAAACATTTTTATCATTTTTGCACAGATAGATTAGTATGTTAAGATAAATATGTTAAAAATTAGTATGTTTAAAACATTAGTTATATATACAAATTTATATTAGCTTAAACTTACTTCACACTAAAAGTTAAAAAATTTCATTTATCTTTTATTTTGTTTTAATAAATATATTTAAAAATAATCAGAAAAATAAAACAAAATCTAAACCTCTACTAGATGGAATCATCCCCGATAATGCAGTCCAAGCAGTAACTAAACTTAGTTTTTCATCTGAATCAGCTATGTAATTCCTCCAAACTCGTACAGCTCCATCATCTAAAAAATTTTTTATTATCAACATTTTTCAGAATTTAAAAAAATTTAAACAAACTCTACCATAAAACCCAAGCTAAATTTTTAAATTTTTTAAAAAAACTAAAAAATTATAAATGAACCTGAACCAGTAAGCAGCAATGGTACATCATGAGCATTTAAAATATCCATAGAACAGATTCTTGATGTTCTGGGATTCCCGTTGTCAAATTGATTAAGGCGAATACCTGATTCATAATTTAAGACTGAAACTCCACTTCTATCTGCCACAACAAGATGTGGATGATATGGGTGAAACTTTAGGACACCGGGGGGATTAGGATTTTTAGTAACAAATATTTCATCATCTAGAGAACTTATTGCTAAAAATAAAACATAATAAAAAATAAAAAGATATTTAAAAATGGAGACAGAAAAAAAAAAAAAAGAAAGAAAAGATCTCTTACGATATTCTTTAAGCAATTTTGCCGACATTTTACGCACTTTTGTATTTCTTAAGAATCGTCCTTCTCTTTCGAGACATTGAGCGCTATTTGGGTCTACATCGTCGCTAGGCTTCATTAATGAGTGTGCAAAATAGCCACAGCACCATTCATAAAACTTTGTGCGAACAAGAATATGTTTATGCATAGAAATTCCATCTTCATCAGCATCAGAGTCATCATCACTCGTGGGAAATACATCTGGACCTATCATTAAAAGTAATCATATTTAATTTATCTTGGTTCAAAAAAAAACATACATGAAATAGGTCTGTAGTTGGTTGGTAGAGAAGGGTTGCCTTTCTTAAATATTAGACAAATTATTGCTGATTTCCAAATTTTAGGTATAGTATTAGTTATACTAATAAAATTCCCTACTAATACTAATACTAATACTATACTATACTAATACTGTAATTGTCTAAGTTTTTAATGGTTGGAAAGAGGAAGATCTAAACTAAATAATGCAAAAAATCTAAAGTTTCATGCTTAACCTCAAAAAAAGGTATAAACAAGTAAAGTTCAAGAAAGTTATAAGGTTTTTGTCTAATGCCAATAACTGTAAAGAATCGCTACCTATGACAAAGTAGAGTTAAAAGAAATTATACATGAATATGTATAATACATACATACATACACATATACACACATAAATACATATACATACATACATACATACATACATACATACATACATACATACATACATACATACATACATACATACATACATATATATATATATATATATATATATATATATATATATATATATATATATATATATATATATATATATATATATATATATATATATATATATATATATATATATGTATATATATATGTATATATATATATATATATATATATATATATATATATATATATATATATATATATATATATATATATATATATATATATATATATTAATATATATAAATTAGTAAAAAAACTCTTATTTAATTATCTTTGACAGCTTGTTTCTCTAACGGTAGGTTCATCAAGAAGCTTCCTGATGAACTTACTGATGGAGAAAATAGCTGTCTAAGAGAATTAGATAAATGTTATTACTAATTTATTATTGCTCTCAGGGGTATAAAGTAATAAAAAAAAAGTACCGACTCTGACTCCAACCGCTGAAATTTTCAGAGTATGACTCCAACTCTGACTCTTGAATGATTTATAATACTCTACTTTGAATAATTATTTGAATTCTTTAAAAAAATATTAGGCGATAAATAAATTTTTTTTTTTTTGCCAAATATATGAAAAGTTCTTTGAAGGTTAAATATTTTATACATGCTTATGCATACTGAGAAGTTTTATTACTGGAGTCAGAGTTGCAATTTTGTTTAGCGACTCCAACTCCACTAAAAATATTGCTACTCCGATCCCAAGACTCTAATTCTGCAGCCCTGATTGCTCTGTTCTTTAAGAACATTTCAGCACTCTATTTGTAGAATACACTAACATAATATATATATATATATATATATATATATATATATATATATATATATATATATATATATATACACAAATAGTATTGCGTACTAAGGTAAGCAATCTGATGTCATACTGAAATAGCCTGCTGCTGGGGACTTCAGTACATACATCAACTGACAAATAGCCTGACTCACAGTGGAGTGCTGCTACATCGACTGAGGGTTTGGGATGGGACAGCAATCATTTCATTCAACATTCTTCGTTTTTTTCCTTTTTTTTCTAAAAAAGCCGTATGGATTTAGGTTAGCAAAAAAAGCAAGCAAATGCTTATAAAAATACGCTTTAGTAAGTGTGTGTGTGTGTATATATATATATATATATATATATATATATATATATATATATATATATATATATATATATATATATATATATATATATATATATATATATATATATATACACATCATCAATTTAAATGAAAAAGTACATCTTTATCATGGAACTTAAAGTTTCATGCCTTGCAATCATCAGCCATATTATTCAAAAATTTAAAACCATTATAAAAAATACAAGTTTAGAGTTGCAACGCCATCTGACATCAAATATACATAATCCAATACTTGCCAGAATCAAAGAGATATAGTAAAAAAATATTTTTTTTTTTTTTAGAGTTGTATTTATATAGGTTAATATTTTTAGGTAGTCACATTTTTGTCAGTTACATAACTGTTTGTGACTGATCCTAGCTTTGTATTGTTTGTATTGATTTTATTTTATAAAGGTGGAGAGGTTAAGGCCATCGCTCTTGACATTCCTAAAGCGTTTGATAAAGTTTGGCATGCTGGTCTTCTCCATAAGCTTTCTTCTTACGGTGTATCTGGAAACATCTTTAAGATTATTGAATCCTTCCTTTCCAATCGTAGTATAAAAGTTGTCCTTGATGGACAGCACTCTTCTTATTCTGTAGACTCAGGGGTTCCTCAAGGTTCAATCCTTGGCCCTATACTCTTTTTAATTAACATTAATGATCTTCCATATATTCTCACATCTAAGGTGGCATTGTTCGCTGATGATACTACCATTTATTCTTGTCACGATAAGAAGCCAACTCCCTCTGATTGCTTGCAGGGGGCATTTGAGCTTGAAAAAGATCTAACTTCTGCTACAGCATGGGGCTCACATTGGCTAATAAACTTTAATTCAGATAAAACTCAATTTTTTTCAGCCAATCATTATCACAATAATTTAGACCTTCCTACATTTATGAACGGTAATGTACTCAATGAGTCATCTACCCTTCATCTTCTAGGATTAACTCTTACTTCTGATCTTTCTTGGAAACCTTATACCAAATCCGTTTCAAAATTAGCATCTGCTAAAGTTGCATCTCTTTATCAAGCTCGACACTTTCTTACTCTGGATTCTATTCTCTATCTCTATAAATCTCAAATCTGGCCTTGTATGGAATACTGTTGCCATATCTGAGGCGGATCTTCTAATGATGCCTTTTCTCTTTTAGACATGGTGCAAAAACGCATTGTAAACATAGTTGGACCTGTTCTTGCAGCCAACCTTCAACCTTTGTCACATCATCGTAATGTTGCTTCTCTTTCTCTTTTCTACAAATACTATAATGGGCACTGCTCTAAAGAGCTGGCGCCTCTTGTGCCATCTACTAAAATTCATTTTGTGTTACTCGTCATTCAATTAAGTCTCATCCTTTTTCCGTTACTGTTCCTAAGTGCTTCAAATATTCGTCTTATTTAAAAATTTCTCTTATTCGTCTAGTTTTTCCCCCTCAAACATCAGTTCTTTGGAATTCGCTTCCTTCATCTTGCTTACCTGATTCATATAATTTACAATCTTTTAAGTCGTCTGTCAATTGTTATCTTGCTCTACAATTTTCATCTTTTCTCTTCCAGTAACTTCCAACACTAATTAGTGGTTGCTTGCAGCCTTGTTGGAAACGAAGATGTTTAAAAAAAAAGAAAAAAAAAGTGAAATAAACGATTGATTGATATTTCCAACAGTATACAATATTCATCAATATACACACACAAACACTCACACAGATATATATATATATATATATATATATATATATATATATATATATATATATATATACATACTTTTAGTATTTATGCATCATGTATACATTATAATATAATGTATACATCATGTTTATGTAAATGATTATATATACAACTCACGATGCAACAACCACCAAATTAAATGAAACAACGCAGGAACAAGACTTGAGTACCAACATAAGTAATAATCTGAATAATTATATATACAACCCATGATGGAACAATCATTAAATTGAATAAAACAACACAGGAAAGAGACCTAGGTATCAATATAAGTAATAATCTGAAATGGAAAGACCACATCACAACAATAACTAAAAAAGCTTACTCAAAACTAGGTACACTAAAGCGAGTAAATGAAAATTATTTTTATTGTTTTTTAGAGAAGAACAACAAAGATAATGCATTATTGGAACAATTTACCAAATAAGTTAGTAACATCAAAAACAGTTAACAAATTTAAGGAGCTCATTAAACTGGTTGGCTAAGCTAAGAAAGAAAAATTATATTTTTCACTGATTCCAAAAGTTTGTGCTTTGTTTAAAAAAAATTTTGTTAAAAAAAAAAAAAAATGAATTGGTCAAAGAATAAAGTTTTAAATAAATTAAACGTAATATATAAATTTAATTTTTATTGAGTAAAATAAAAAAAAAAAAAGTAATATAAAAATAGTAAAATATATACCCATAATTAAATATAAATTTACCAAGATTCAATTTAAAATAATATTTTAGAAATCTTAATCTTTATTTTTAGAGTTTGTTTTTCCTGAATGAACAAAATTTTATTGCAATGAACAAAAGTAACTAATAATAAATATATAGAAGTTTTCTAATGTCAACTTAATGTTTTCTAATGCCAACTTAATGTTTTCTAATGAGCACCTAACTTAGCATTTTTAACTAAAGTGCAGTATGTATTTTAATTTGCAATTATATTTTTGACTACTTAGATAACAGAAATTAAAAAATTGGATTGTTGAAACAAACAAAACAGCAACAAAAATATCACAAGGTGTATACCTTTATCAAAAATTCCTCTCTTTGTAGAAAATTGAACAGAATGCGGCCTATATAAAGAAGTTGGTATACTTGCTTGTTTTTTTAAATATTGTTCAGGGGTAGAAGGAAAAGAAGTCGAGCGATGAAACTCTCCAATTGAATGTCTAAACAAAATTTTTAAACTAAAACAAAATTAAGACACACACAAACAATTTTAATATTGTAAATTGAATATAAAAGGGCATATAAAAATAATATAAAATTCCTTTGTTTATACAAAAAAAAAAACAATTTAATTAACAAAAAAAATTGTAAAGGTCTATTTTCATATATCAATAAAAAAGAAAGCAATAAAAGCTAATTGTTTCAGTATGTTAACTAAAAACCAACTAACTCAATAATTTTCACATTTAATTTTGCTTATTTAATTGCTTTTTACATATTTTAAATTTTTACTTATATATCAGTACTCAATTTATTTTACTCTTTATTTTTTAATACTCTTTTATACCAGTAATCAATTTTATTACCAAATAATAAGTAAATCATTGTGTTGTTAAATTTGTTTCATATACATATAAGTTATATTGTGTGTTTAGATAAGCAGCCTGACGTCATACTGAAGCTAGCTACATACATCTAGTGATGTCATACTGAAGCTAGCTACATACATCTAGTGACTGAATAGACAAACAAGGAGTGCTGCTACATTAACATTAAAAAGGTAATAATTAAAATAGTACATACAACTATTATTAAATGAAAAAACAAAAACTAAAGATTGAAAAGTTAAACCGAATGAAAAGATATAAGGATTTTAAAATTTTTACCTGACTAAATTGAATTTAAGTCGATTAGTAGAAAGTTTATAGTCAATTAAATCGACTATTCCATTTTTTAAAGTCAACTAATTTTGGCTTTTAACTAGTTGACTTTAAGTCAATTTAGTCGAAGTTGATAACAACACTATATTTTTTGCAAATAATATTTTACAATGTGAACAATATTTAATTGATACTTTTGCATAAGAATGTGCATGCATGTGAGTGCATGCATCCACTGACTTGTTTAGGGAAAACATGCTGGGAGTGCACACAAACCAGGGAAAGGGTTAGAGTTGGCATTAAGATTACCTGCCCTAACCTAAATTTAAACACGATAATAAAATTATTAACAAAAATATATCATAATAACAAGAGTAAAATAAAAATAACAAAAATTTAGATAAAATATCAATAATATAATGACAATATTAATTACCAGTATAAAAATACTTTGTAACAATAAGTTTATTATTGATAAGGATGGTGTCACAATAGTCTGATCCGAGAGCAAAGTTATTAAATAGCAAAACAATTTTGTACTTTTAGCTTATGATTATAAGTAAACTATCATTGTTAACAGTGTTTATTATTATACAATTTTATAACACACTATTTATGTGTTTATTTTTATATTTGCTGCATGCATATTACATATTATTGCATAATATGCACATTATATACTATTGCATTTTTTGATTAAAAAAAAAAAAAAATAGTATTACAAAGAACAAATTGAAAGAAGAAAGAACAAATAAAGAATAGTAATAAGATAAAAATAAAACAATTAAAGATAAAGTTATAGCTTATTATGTTTATATATTTTTAGCTGGTTTGTTTTTGTCCAATAAATCTAGTTTTTTTTTTCTACATTAATGGTGAAATGATTATTGATACTTTTAAAGTTTTTTTTTTAAAACTTGTTCCTAATATTAAAACTCTAACTAATTCATTGACTTAATACATCAATTTGCAAGGTGTTTCCTAAAACTATTTAATTAGACAAATAACCATGCTTAAGTTTATGTTAAAGTTTATGCCATGATGTGTTAAATAGTAAAACGATATAATAGTTGTCCTATTTACTATTTATAAAATTCTACAAAGTATATTCTGCAAAGTATTAAGAAATAATAATAATAAATGGAAATAATAATAATAAATGGAAATACACAATAACCTGGGATGTATAGAAGCTCCTTCATCTGATGTATTGGGTGAAGAAGGGAGTGAAACATTTGTTGAAACTGAAGTAGAACCATTGTGTGGCTTTATGTTGACAGCAGCCTTTTAAAAAATTTTAAATAAAGCAACTGTAAAAAAAAATGGTTTCTGAGAATATTTAAAAAAATAAAAATAAAAAAAAACTTTATAAACAAACTTTTTATTTTAAAGATAACTATTTTATAAGAAAGCTTTTTTATAAATTAATTTCTAAGGTAAGGTTAAAAGATTTCATAAGCAAAACATTTTTTAACAGACCACTATAAAAAATAAATAGCAACTTCCAAAATAATATTTTACAGAACAGCAATTTCTAATAGAATCATATTACTTTTCTATAGTCTTCTTTATAACAAAATTATCTTTTTTTTACTTAATTATGACATACTGAAAAAAAAAAAGCAATTTAAAAAAAAGCAATTAAAAAAAAAAAAAAACAATTTAAAAAAAAGCAATTTAAAAAAAAAATTATTAAAAGAAAACAATTAAAATATTTATCTTTAAGGTAAAAGATTTAAATTATTAAATTTTATTTTTAAATAAATAAATTTTAATTTAAAATTAACTGCAGTTAAAAATATATAATTAAAAGTTAAAAACTTATAGTTTAATAAAAAAACTTCCTCAGAAAAAGTATACAAATAAAGTTCAAAACAAACAATCTAATTTAGACTTAACCATTGAACAATTAAGCTAAAAATTGAACTATTGAGTTGAAATAAACTAAAAATTCTAAATAAAATTTGCTAAAAGTTAAAAAAAAAATTTAATGAAAGACATTTAAAAACAAATTTTAATTTAATGTAAAAATTTCAAAGTAAAATTTAAAAATTTAAATGTAAAATATCTGAATGTTTTTAAATTTTTAAAATCATTTAGATGCTTAGATGCATGCCTCACAATTGCCTCGTAATTTTAAATCACTTTTGTTCTTTCCACTTAAAAAACTTGCAAAACTAATGTGTTTTGGTTAGGTTGTAATCACTTGATGGTCAGGTACAAACTGTTCAGTGAACTCTGACTTACAAAAAGGCTCAATACTACACCTTTTTGCATTTAAGATGGCCAATTTTCACTTTAACTTGGCATTTTTTCATTTTAATTTGGCAATTTTCACTATAATTTGTAAACTTAAGTGCAAAAAGGTGTAAAGACCAAAAATGAACAACCTATATGTTTGCTGTCTATAATTTTGTTTTAACTACTATTTGTCTGTTTGTCTTATTGTAATAACTCAATTCTGTTTTTTAAATGTCACATAAACTCTTTCATACAACTATGTGATGTCTTGAAAGAATTATATATGTCTGCAACGAACATTTAGTAACAGAAATTTTTAAAAATATTTTATCTAATTTAATTTGTGTCAAATATAATTTTTTTAAAGGGATCACTGTTATGCTGTGTTCATAATAGTCTCAAGAATGATTAGAGGGTGCCAATGCCTGACCATTATTTTGAGCCTTGCTAATGTACAAACTGTTGATTTCTATTAGAGTATTAACTAATAATCAAAAAATTAGCTGAAATGGTTCCAAAAATGAGGAAGGGGGAAAGAGAAAGTACACTGTATCAACTAATCCAAGGAGGCTACTGTTTCAAATAAATAAATGCTAACCATTGGAAATATTTAAAAATGCATCCAATTTCTAAAATTTTAAAGGTAGAAGAAATAAATTTCAATTTTGTTTATAAATGCAATATAAAAAAATCATAAAATATATGACAATAACAATAGCCCATGTTATGAGATATAGAATTGATCCTAGCTTCCAAAACACACCTAATTGTTGTAAAATGAGACAGTGAAGCAAAAAGAAATTACATTAGGACAAAAACAAAACAAAACAAATAACAACTTGTCTATTTTAGTTTTAGATCAATATGGTTGCAATCAGTAGCTAGTCATTCACAGTGCAGAGATCTGATGTAAAAAAAAAAAAAAGATCTGCAAGAATCCTGAACAGAGATGTGCTGCTTCTTGTAATAAATGTTTGGAAGAAAGCAAATTTTAGAGTCTTTATCATTATTTAGGATTCAGTGCTATAGTTAAAATATTGAAGCATAATAAGTCCACAAATCTCCATCATCTCAAAGGTGCACATTTCCCACTTAATAGAAGCTTTAACTATAAAGTAGAGAAAAGAAAAAAGACCAAGGGAAAAGCTATATGTCAAACTCAAAAAAGCCTAATGTCCAATCAAAGATATAATAGACAAGATGATAGACCTAGTTAAGTTTAACTTAAAACAGCTCCACACTGGATCACCTCTGTACCTAATTGCTAATGAAGATTCAGAGTTTAGAGAAAAAGCTTATGTAAACTTTTGTCAGACCTGATGAAACTGTGCAAACCTTTTTGTTTTTTATATTGGAGAAGAACTTTTAAGATTTTGTTTCTGTCAACCTGGATTTTCTGGATTTTATTATTGCCCAAAACCACCAAGACTACTACAATTAAGGAGCCTACTCTACTATTTAGTTCTTATCAACTATTGTTACATAGCAATCCTCTTTCAACCCTTTAATTTCAAAACACAAGTCTCCTGCCAAACCAGGCCCTCACATGTAGAAACAATTTAAACTCAGAAGTGTAGTTCAAAAATTGTCTACTAAGTGTGTAATCTAACACAACCAAACAACAACCTAAAAAATAGACTATAAAGAATGCTGAAACAATAATAGCTTATAAATAAGTTATAAAATTTGTGTAAGTTAACACAATAAACATAATTAACAAAAGATATATTATTAATAGATAGAATTTAAATTAATTTTGATAGTGACAAAATCTTAAATTTCTTAGAGATTTTTTTGGAGACATCCCTTTGGACCTTTTATGGACATATATAGCAACACATGCTCACTAGGTAGTTAAAACAAATTGAGTATATGAGTATATGAGTAGATAAGCTCTTAACAATAGGGCACTGGGTACAATAAAGCTTTATAAACTCTTAACTTGTTTTAAAACAAGTAGTTGCTGAAACAGATTTACATTAAATTTTTTATTTCAAAAAAAACTTATAAAAACTAAAAAAAACTATAAAGTAAAAAAATATTTAAAAAAGGTTGGAATTAATTTTACTCTATATAAATAAACAACTACTATTTTCACGCTTTGTAAATCTATTTCAGAGAAAGCAATTAAGTTGTAAAAATATTATTTTATATATTGATTTAATTAAGTAAACTATTTTTAATTCCTAATATATTCCTACATATATTGTTGACAGTTTTTAAATATTTTAAAGTAGAAAGTGCGAAACACTTTAGGTGTACTAAATTCTAGCATAACATTACAATGCCATAACACAAACAGGGTTAGGGGTCATGTTACAGAGCTAATAAAGCCCACAGAAGTAGTAAGTGACTGGGGCCCCAGCCCCAGCTAAAAATGAGACTTTTTACAAACTTAGCCCTGGCCCCGAAAAAATTATAAGATTTAGCAGCGGTTGATAGCCGGGGCTATAAAAAGATTTATAATAATTTATTATAATTTTATGATTACATTTACTATTTATTAAATACTGACATACATTTATATTTTTTTAAACTTAAATTTACTTCCAACAAGATTGCAAGCAACCACTATTAAGTTATAAGTTACTTTAAAATAGAGAATAAGTTAAAATACTAGGAAATGTATAACTGAAGACTTAAAAAGTTGTAAATTGTATAAAAAAGGAAAACATGAAGATGGCTAAGAGTTATAAGGTTTTTTTGATGTTCAAGGAAAAAAAACTGGATTAACTATCATGCTATAAAAAGTTTTTATAGCATGAAGGGGATAAATACAGTACAAGGATGCAACTTTTTGAATAAATAGCCAAGCAAGAATGAGTTTTGGTTTATTTTTTACAGAGATTATAGCTCATTTGAGCATTGACCATGATTGTATTTGTAGAAAAAAGAAAAAAAATGCAACTTTACAACAATGGGAGAGTAGCTCAAGCTTGGCAGATAATCTAGGTCTAATTACATTTACAATGTGCTTTTAGACTTTGTCTGAGAGTAAAAGGGTTTTTATTCATCCATATAGGAATGCCAACAATATTGCAATATTTTTTTGCAGTAAATAAATGAATTTTGTTGTCTAAAAAAAAATTAAATCCATAAGCCACTGCAAGCCTTAGGCTGTTACAGAAGAGAGTTCAGATTTAAAATCGGCTGCTTGTTCTAAGCATTTAAAAAGTGAAGATTTTTTGTCAAGACAAGAGTATAAAGTTGAACCATCAGCAAATAGAGCCACTTGAATTTCATGAAAATTGTTATTGTAGATAAGAAACAATACAGGGGCAAAGATAGAACCTTGTGGTACCCTTAAAGTTACTTAAAATAAAGAAGAGGGTAGGCCTTCAAGAATAACTTTACTACTGCAGTTAGAAAGAAACAAGTTAATAACCTCAAACCTTTATATAAAGAAACTAATAACAGAGTGAAGACTAATTGTAGTATAGTTAGAGAGGTCAAAGTGTTTTCTAGAGTTTTGAAAAATTGAAACCACTTAGCACTTTTTAAAAGTTTAGCAAAAATTAAAGAGAGTTCTGTAGAACACTTTTTTAAGACTATGTTGGAAATCATGTCTGAAGCACAAACTGTAGTAGTGTTAAATTGAGAATTAATTTTAGTATTGGAGTTGATTTGGATGTTTAATAATGAATTAGAGATTAAATGTTATACTTACTTTTATATTAAATGTTAGTTTATGACACTGTTTAAAGACTAACCAAGAGAGATGTCCTTGTGAAAAAGATGAAAAAAATTATTAATGTGGAAAAATGTGGAGTAGAATGAGGCTTGACTTAAAATTGAAGAGAGGTAATAAAAGCTTCCAAACTTTTATTCCAGAAAAAATAAAAGCTTCCAAAATGCACTTTTTGTATACATATTATGGATATAAATATATCTGTTTGCAATTTATTTAGGTTTAAAAAACATTGTATCGAACAATGTTTTTTAAATGTTTGTTAGAAAAGATTAAATTAATATAGGTATCATATATGTAATGAGGTAGCAGCTTCAGTAGAAAATGGTAGTGGTACAAGTAAGAAAATTTAAAGAGAGTGCCTTATATTGTATGAACAAGCTTTAGTCAGGAAAAAAAATGCTCTAGATTGTTTATATTAGAGAAACAGCATAAAAGAGGAAGGCTAAAGTCTAATGATGATGATGACAATAATGATGATGATCAGGCTTTAGCCTTCCTCTTTTATGCTGTTGTTGATGATGATCATGATGATGATAATGATGATCATGATGATGTTGATGATATACAAAATATAACATGAATTTTGAGTAAAAAAGGTTAGGGAAATCTAATCTACCAATTGAAATAGAAGGTTAGGGAAATCTAATCTACCAATTGAAATAGAAGGTTAGGGAAATCTAATCTACCAATTGAAATAGAAGGTTAGGGAAATCTAATCTACCAATTGAAATAGAAGGTTAGGGAAATCTAATCTACCAATTGAAATAGAAGGTTAGGGAAATCTAATCTACCAATTGAAATAGAAGGTTAGGGAAATCTAATCTACCAATTGAAATAGAAGGTTAGGGAAATCTAATCTACCAATTGAAATAGAAGGTTAGGGAAATCTAATCTACCAATTGAAATAGAAGGTTAGGGACCAGTCTGTTTCAGTAATATCAAGTCCATTGAGTTTTGAGAGCTGGTAGGTCTAAAAAATGGTTTCTGTTGAAATTGGCAGAAGTCCCTGCTAGTGAAGTAGAACAGTGTAGAAGAGATTAGAAAAAAAAAAAAAAGATAGAGAAAAAAAAATTCTAAAGTTGTTGAATGCATTAAATGTTTGTTAAAAAATTATCTTGCATCAACAAATGCAGAAAGAAACATAAATCTTATTCAAGATTATGTAGGTGAATACAAAACAGACAATATGACAATATATATGTGAAAAAACTTTAAAAGAAATACAAATTATCATTCAGAAATTTTTTGATACATTTTTGTATCTTTGTTAAGTAAATGTGTAATACTTTAATTTTAACAAAAAATGAAATTACATATTGCTAAAATTGATTGCAGAAAATCTTTTTCTTGATATATATGAAATCATTGGACATTAAAGAACAGTTTCACATGCAATAGGGTGTCTCTATTGTACATGCAATAGGGTATCTATTGCACATGCAATAAGGTGTCTTTATTGCACATGCAATAGGATGTCTCTATTACACATGCAATAGGGTGTTTTTATTGCACATACAATAAGATGTCTTTATTTCAAATTCAATAGGGTGTCCCTATTGCACATGCAATTAATCTTTTAGTATGTGGTTATAAGCCACAAAAAATGAATAATGATTTATTGATGTTGTAACATGCAGAAGATTAAGAAGTGAAAGCATGATACAATGAATCATTAATGCATAGAAACTAGCTTCTGAAGTTGCTGCCATTTTTAAAAAAGGTTTGTAAAATTGTTAAAGACTTCAGAGTGTCCTCTACCAGGAATGATAACAATTATAATCCCCAAAACATCTAATCTATAAGAAATAAAAAAACTGTTGTTTTTAAATTGCAAAACTGGATGAAATACCTTTTGAAATAATACAAAAATTTTAAGAGGTTAATAAAGAATTTAAAGTACTTGATGAATGAATGAATCTATCTTGATAAGCGAATGAATCTTTTGTATAAAAGAGGTTTATAAAGAATTTAAAGCACTTGATGAATGAATGAATATATCTTGATGAGCGAATGAATCTTGAACAAAACTTGGATGGTTCTGAAAAATGAAATAAAAAAAAATAATAATATTTATGCGTATCAGATCTGTTAAAAACCTTAATAATTGCTAAAATATTGAGTAGAAATATGTTAAAATGTTAAAAACTATCCAAGTAATACTCAGGTAAATTTTATAACATGTCCATTATTCAAGTAATTTTTTTCTCTCCAGGTAATAAAAACACTAGCTGCTATAAATAATAGAAGAACTTCACAATAAAAAATTTAATACCTTGACTGCTATAGTGTTAACAACTTTTCTAGCCATATCAGCAGTTTCAGTATGTGGGTCCATGGAAAGATTAAGCATTGCCTAATTAAAAAAATAATATAATTTTAGGAATAAACAAAATAATAAACACAATTTCAAAAGTAAAATTCTAATTTAAATAAAAACATAATTTTATTCTTAGTTTGTAAATGTGGTTATGAAAAAGTAAATAAAGTGATTAAAGATTGTTTTATTTTATTTACATTTTAAAAATATTTCACACAGTTTTGATAAAAACAATTTATATAAATTTAATTATAACAAAAAATAAATTATTTCTAAATAAAAACCTTTTTGAAATGAAATGAGACATAGCTTTAGAAAAATGACTTACCAGCAATTTTTTTATGAAATGAAGTAAAATTTTGTGCAGCCTTGTTAATAAGCAAATAAAAACAGTGTGCAGTGCAGTATGACCACACCACAAAGTACAAACTTGTGCATTACAACATTTATATAATTGAAACTGTTCTGAATGTTTACATCAAATATTTTTATTAAAAAAGATTAAAAACTGCATTCTACATGGTGTAGTTAAGGCGATTTTTAATAATTATATATAATTATATATTTTATAAATAATTATAGCGTCTGTGTAATATTTTTCTGTCTGCAACATATTTCCGTTAAATGATCAGGTCTATGAATCATGAAAAGACAAAAAAAATTAAGACGATAAATTTTGCCATAACATAAAGTAAAAATGTTTGTAGCGAAAAAACTCAGACCGGAGGTTAATTTTTTAAAAAAGAAATCCTTAAAACCATGATCGCTTGTTCAAATTTGAATAAAATTTTAAATAAATATGCTTTTTAGATGAAATAAACATCTTATTTTAATATTTTAATCTGTTTAAATCTGTTCTGATCACTTGTTGGGAATTTTTTTTTTAATTATAAGCACTTTCTTGGTTGGAATTCTAATATTTTTTGTGAAAATTGATAGAAATGTTGTGTTTTGACAATTATATTCAATTAATATGTGCTAGAACCGATTTGAGCAAAAATCTATTGTAGATTTTCAAAAGCACTTGTTCAAAAATTTTTAACTAAAATTTAGTTAACGATGTTGAGCGAAATTGATCTCAAAAATGACTCAAAAATGGTGTTCTTTAGATTCGCAATTTGAGGTAATAAAAAAGTTTTTCACTTTTTCAAAAATTTTAAACTAAAATTTAGTTAACAATGTTGAGTGAAATTGATCTCAAAAATGACTCAAAATTGACTGAAAAATGGTGTTCTTTAGATTGCAATTTGGGTTAATAATAAAGTTTTAAAAATTATATAAAAAAGAGAAAAGTTTCTTTAAACATAAAAACTTGATGCAATAAAAACTATAGCATTTAAAGCTCTTGTTTGGACAAAACATGCTGACAAAATCATACTAATTCCAAATAAAAGAATTTAAATAAGTTATACATTGCCTTAACTACACCAAGTACTTGTAGCTGCTGTAACCTTCAATGACTTACTTTCCAGACTCTGGTATACACAGTTTCATGAAGTGAAGAAGTAAAAATTTGTGTTCGAAACCAATGACTATCATCCGTTGGACTAACACTACCATACATACTGCTGAGACTGATTGATGACCGACCTAAAAAAATCAAAATATTTCATCAATCAATTTAATCAGCAGATTTTATCTACGCAGATTCCTTTTAACAACACAAAAATTTAAACATAATATGTTCAAAGAAAAAAATAATCTTTAATTATTGTATAAACCGATTTTCTTAATAACTCTAAAAGCGGAAATTTTTTTGTTTACATCACAATATTTACATAGTGGGGATTAAAAAGTTAAACTTCTGCTTTTTGAGTTAAAATTCATGAAAAATGAATTTTATAAACAATTTTATGTAATTAAAGCAGCAAAATGTTGATCAACATTTTTTAAATCTTATGCTTGGTCACTCTGAAATAACCCTATTTATAATTTTGTATGCTAAATTAAAAATAATACTTAAAACATTAATTTTGAACCTATTTTTTAACCATTAATGCACTTCATTTTAACTAATACCTCTAGCTCTTCTAAATTAAGCTATATGTACATTTTATTTTGCTTACCAATAAAAGATCCTAAATCCTTTAAAAACTTTTTTATATTTTGTGCCTTTGTATCTTTTTGATATGATAAATGTTTATATTTTTATTTTTGTTTAAAATCTAAACTTCATCCTAATACATACTGTGAACTGTCCTCTTTAAAAAGTCAAATAAAAAAAAAAATCAAAATTTACATTCTTTTAACTTTAAAACACTTTGCTTTAAAAACTTATTTTTTTTAGGTTTTCTACAAAACCAATTAAAAACATTTTTTGTTGTGTAATACAAGTTTCACGCTGCATTTTAGTATTAACTAAATAAATGCCACTTTTGTATTCTAGACAACATATAACTTTCTTTTTTTTTAATTCTGCCTTCTTTAACTTCTTTTTCTTTATGTTTCTTTTTTAACCTTTTTAATTTTTAATTTGTAAAGCAATTAGTGACAACTATTGAGAATTTATTTTTATTTTTTCAAAACCTTTAACCATCTAACATACTGAGCAACTCCTACTACACATAAATTAACAATTTTTCTGTTATTCCCTGTTATTTTAATATTAAATACTTTATAGTTTTTAACTTTAAATAGATTAAAAATAGTCAAAAAATTTTAGGAAATACTTGAAAACTTAAAAAAAATTTGTCTGTAGTTTATTAGAAACATTGAAAACTTTATTTTATTCAATTTATAATTTTTTAGTTTTCCAATATTTTTGTAAACAAAAGTCTGACAAAATATTGTTAAGGTAATTCTAAACCAGTAAAGCTCTTGAGTCCCAAAATTTTTATGGAACCTCCCAAATTCCAGATTTCTTTATGATTTAAAAAACTATTTATATTTTCTTTGTTTCTTTTTTTTTTTAAAGTAAAAAAAGTTATTTAAAGTCAATTATTCATATAATTTAAAATCTTTTATGTCATCTGTCAATCGTTATTTAGCTCTACATACTTCATCTTTTCACTCCCAGTAATCTCCAGTAATAGTGTTCTTTTTTTTTTTTAAAACATTTTTGCTTCCAACAAGGCTGCAAGCAATCACTAGATAGTGTTTGAAGTTACTGGAAGAGAAAAAATGAAGATTGTAGAGCAAGATAACGATTGACAGACGACTTAAAAGATTGCAAATTATATGAATCAGGATATTGAACATTGAGGAACCCCTGATGTTACAGAATAATAAGAAGAGTGCTGTCCATCAAGGACAACTTTTATACTACAATTGGAAAGGAAGGATTTAATAATCTTAAAGATGTTTCCAGATACACCGTAAGAAGAAAGTTTATGGAGAAGACAAGCATGCTAAACTTTATCAAACGCTTTAAAAATGTCAAGAGCGATGGCCTTAACCTCTCCACCTTTATCAAATCCCCGATAAAACCTATCGGTTATTACTGTTAGCAAACCAGCCTTAGAACGAGAAGATAAAAATCCTTATTGATGATCAGAAAGTAAGTTATTAGATTCAAGATGAGAGGTTAAGTGTTTGTTAATTAAAGATTCAAAAATCTTGCTCATGATAGGAAGAGGACTAATGGGACGTTAAATAGACAAATCAAATCGCTCTCCAGAATTTTTAAAAATAGGGATAACAGATGCTGCTTTTAAGCAGGCTGGAAAACAAGACTCTGATAAGCACTTGTTGAATAGTTTAAGAAAAGAAAATGAAAAGGATAGACCATAGCTTCAGAGAACACTTCTGCAAGACTATAACAGGTATGTTGTCTGGGACATAAGCTGTAGAAGAGTCTAAGCAGGAAATCACTTTAGATACAGAAGCTAGAGTGATATAAATGTCAAGCAATGGATTAACCTGTTTGACGGCTATATCAGGTAGAACGCAACTAGTGGAATCAAGAGATGATATTGATGAAAAGTTCTTAGCAAACAATTCAGCTTTGTGTTTAGGTGAGGTGACAAAGTCTGAACCATATAAAGAGGTGAAATTACAGACTTGCCCGTATTATTGATACTGTTAAAGATTCTCCAGAAGTCATGAGAGCCTAATTTTTGTGATGAAATACAAGATTTCATGACCTGAGAATAGCGGGCTTTGGCGTTAGACAAAACCTTTTTACAATGGTTCCTAGCAGTAATAAACAGACATCTGTTTTCTGGAGAATTGTTTTGATAGATATGGATGTAATGGTTTTCGATTGGCAATTGCAGCAGCACAATGTGAGGAAAAAAAATCACAAAGAAAATCACGAAAAGAGTCCCAGTCAACTTTAAGGTAGTTGTAAGATGTATGATGATAGGGGGATTCAGATGATGAAGAAGAATGATATAATAGTTTTTGAGAGATCAAACTGTGATCAAAAGCACCTAAGGGTGAATGTGGAGTAACTGAGCACTGACTAGGATTAGAAACAAGACATAAGTCCAGTAGAGAAGGCAAATGATTCGGGTTGTCTGGAAAGCGAGTTGAAAAGTTGACTATTTGAGTTAGGGATTGAGAAAGGCAAAAATTGTGGGCTTTAATGCCTGCAGAGTCACTCACACTAGAGCGTGATGAAAATTAAAGTCAGTGACAACAACAATATTGGCTGATGGATAAAGATAGAGGGTTTGGTCAATATGATCAGAAATAACATTGAAAAGAGTCTTCGGATGAAGGAGAGCGATAAAGAACAAAGAGAAAGATGATAGAGTGAAGTGGTGCTAAACGAAAGCACATACAAGAGTAGTCTGTGGATTCAGATCTAATTTCTTGACAAATGGGTGAATTCTTATGAATGTAAATGCCCAGGCCAAGCATGTGACTATTGGAGTCTTTACGAATTAAAGGAAGATAACCATCAACACTAAGATCAGAAGATGAGACAGCTGAATTCAAATTAGTCTCACAAAGAACAAGTAGGTCTGGAGAACTTTGCAACAGATAAGACTCAACAGAAGAAAAGTTACTTCGAAGACCAGGAATATTAGTGAATGACAGGTTTAGAGAACTTGGTGATGACAATGGTTTTTTGTGTTTTACAGTTTTTGTTACTTTATTCATTTTTTAATTTGTTAAAGAACTTGAAACATAGATAGTACTCAGTACACTGTTTAATAGCCGAAGCAATTGCCTCATTACTATTAATAAACCCTAAGCTGTAACAAAGGGCTCCAATGTGGCCTTGGCAATGCACACCAAAAGTATATTTTTCAGCTGTTGATGGAACTAGCCTCTCTGAGAGCTACCACAGAGTTTGGGAAACCTGACTACCAGCCGGCCTCAGAACCATAAAACTGAGTTGTAGAGCAGTACCCTCATTAAGAGATAATAGAATGAGTTACCTAGTTATAAAAACAGAGACACAAGCAAAACCCATTGAGTCAAGAAGATGCAGCATTTAACATCCTAAACTGGAATCAATGTACAAAAAATCATCTGCGCCAGTCTAATAGATGAAGAAGGGGTGCCAGGCTGGTCAACAGATAGAATCTGTTTACCCCTTAATTTGCTTGCAGCCTTGTTGGAAGCTTCCAACATGGTTGCTTGCAGCCTTGTTGGAAGCGAAGATGTTGAAAAAAAAAAAAAAAAAAAACTATAGTTTTTATTTTTCATTTAACAAAAAAATAACAATAAAATGTAAAAAAGTTAAACTAACCAAACTTGGTTGGTTTAAATTTTCAAAAGAGTTTTAAGTCATATCGAACAGCATATGTTTTATATCACATGCAACAGTTTTATATCACATGCAACAACATAAGTTTTATATCACATGCAACAACATAAGTTTTATATCGCATGCAACAACATAAGTTTTATATCACATGCAACACCATAAGTTTTATATCACATGCAACAACATAAGTTTTATATCGCATGCAACAATATAAGTTTTATATCACATGGAATGACATGTGATATAAATAATGTTATGTTATGTTAAATATCAGACAATTTTTAACATGATTTAAAAAGCTTTTGCACTTAACAATGAAATTGCTTATACAAATTAAAATTTATTTTATAACATTTTTTGGTAAGAGAACGTTTTTAAAAACAAACTTAATAAAATACTTGAATGAAGTAATGTTTGACCGGAACTTTTCTTTGAATAACTTGGTTCATTAGCACTAATATTGGCATCACTACTTTGAGGAACTAATATCCACCCTTTTTTTGTTTCTGGATCACGTGGACCTGGTCCAGAGGAATCATGTAAACTACTATCATCCATAAACTGGACAGCAACACCAATAAATGCATTTTCAAACTGCATAATGTGGCTGTAAAGAGCAACAACTAATTCCTAAAAAAAAAAAAGCCTAAAATTTACATCACTAAAATGTTAAATAAGAATGAGTATATTATACTATTACACAAACACACACACACAAACACATACACACACACACACACACACACAAAGCAACCAAAAAAATGACTTTTTATTAGGACTGGAACATAATAGGATCCACATTATTAAAGATAAGAAAAAGTAGCAATCCAACGTTTATTAGTTAATAAATCTAAATTCAATAATAATAGTTAAATTAAAAAAAATATTTTTAAAAAATTAGAAAATATTAATTGCTCAAAGTTTTATATGAAAACAATGAACATTTTTCTAAGGATAGAGTGCAACACTTGTTCTGCTATTGATGCAGCAATGTAAATTGAATTTAAATTGCACCAGTTTTTTGCGTTTACAAAATAAATCTTATTTTAAATATGACAATCAAAAGAAAAAAAAAACAAAAACAGGAACAACAACAACAACAAAAAAAACAACCTTTCTAACAAGTGGACTTCCTTCATTTGCTAGCATTGTAGTAAGAGTTGTAGCAACACTTTGATCTATCATATTTGCATGGTCTGATCGATCACCAGTATTTCCTATTAGTGTTCCTAGTGCAAACACAGCCGCTGCGCGTACCTATATAGTTAGATAGACATAGTTAAATAACTATAAAGTATAAACAAGTTACAACAAACAAGTTTAACATTCAAATGGATAATCAAGTTATTACAAATAATAGGTAATTACAAATAAAACTGCAGTCATTTTTCAAAACGCCTTAAGATGCTTATTACGTATTTTGAGAAAAACCCAATAAAAAAAAATTATTAGGAGAAAATCATTGTAAAAAGTTTTTTGAAACTAATAATTTTTATGAATTTTTTTCATAATTTTACAAAAATAATAAACTCATTCAATTTATTCAAAATAACAATTATAGGTATCTAAATTAGCTTATTTTGTAAAAAAAGTCAGTTTTGAATTTTTTCATCTTAAGGGGTTTGAAAAACTACTGCAGAATAGGTAATTACAAATAATAGGTAATTACAAACAATCAAGCTTATAAACTTAGCTGAATATCTTACATCTGGAAGCGGATCTGGTAAAAGTTTTGAGATTTTATCTGGAGCACTATCTCTTATTCCACACCAGCGAGCCGCATCACAGTTCTTCCATATTAAACCTAAACATAGAGCCAACCACTGGCGAAGTAGCGGATGGGGATCAGTGAGTTGCTCAAGACATATTGAAATCATATTTCCTTTCAAACATGCTTCCTAATAAAAACTTCAGCATTTTTAATTACTTTTAATTGAAAAATTTTTTCAATTAAAAGTATTATTCAATTAAATTTTCTTGTGAAAATTTAATTGAATAATACTTTTAATTGAAAAAATAGGAAAACAATGTAAACACACACACATATTAATATATACAAACAAAATAAATTAAAAAAAACTAATATCTGCCATTAAAAGTTGTCACAGCATTTTTAAAACTTTTTAAAACTTTTGTGTTTTTTTATTATATAAGTTATTGTGCTATAAACATTTGTGTCTACCTGTTGCGTTATGTTGTGTTTTTGATTACACAACATTTGTGTTATTATGTGCTTACTTGGTTTATATATTTTTACGCTTGTACTTGAATTGAGAAATGTAAAAGAAATAATTTGTAAAAACTTTAATGAATTAAAATTTTTACAAATTTTAAACCTTTTTTTTTCTTTGATTCATTAAAATCATAAAAAAAAAAAAAAACTATTTGCAACTATGTCTCTATTATCCAAAACAGTTAAACTATTCAATTTACCTGTCCAGCAGGATAATCATGAACTATTCTTGCTAAAACAAAGCTTGCAGTTGTTCTATGTTCTGCCTATGAATAATAACAGAAGAACAAATAGCAATATCTAAAAAGTGTTTAACATTAAAAAAATTTATTTTAAAGAAAAAAGACCTACTGGCATGTAGCCATCTGCCAAAACTGATAAAAAATACTTGTGACCATTTTCTTGGACAAGATCAGTTTGGAAACTCTAAATTATATTATCATAAACTATTTATAGCTCAAAAAAAAACACAGCTTTTAAAGTGGCTCAACAAGAAATAAATTTTGTTTTCATTTATATAAAAATATAATTATGAATGCAAACATTTGTATGCTGATTTGCATTAGGTAAGAAATGTAAACATAGATTGTAATATACATGTGTTAACGTAAAAACACTAAAACAAAAAATTGGAAACATTTAAATACACATCCGTATACTATGTAATTATGTGTCTCATTATGTCATATTTCATATAATGTGTTGTGTATCTCCTATTATGCAATATGTTTCATATTATTTATTAAGTGTCTCATACTATGTACTATGTGTCTCATTATGTGTTTTGTGTCATATTATATTATGCGTCTCATTTTACGTTGTATATCTCATTTGTTCAAACTTTGTTTTTACAAATTCAAAATTTTAATTGCTCATAAATTATAATTTGTAAAAAACATAACAAATTTTTAAGGTTAATGAAAAACATGAAAAATATTAAGTTGTAGTATGTGTTACTTACAAACTTACATATTATATATGTACCCTTATGTTTACTTATATGTAAACATTTTAAAATTCAAAAAATACTTACACTATCAACAGCAAGAATTTTTGCTAAAATAAACACCAATAGTGGTCGAAGTTCTCGAGTAGGACTGCGTAACAATCGCAAAATATAAGGTGATATATTTACTGAAAGTGCCTTGAAAATAATAACATATATAAATAATAATGTGTTTGTGTGAACATAAAAATATTATAAAGAAATATATATATATATATATATATATATATATATATATATATATATATATATATATATATATATATATATATACATATATATATATGTATATATATATATATATATATATATATATATATATATATATATATATATATATATATATATATATATATATATATATATATATATATATATATATATATATATACATATAAGTAGCCTCCTCGTCTGTAGTGGCCTTCTCAGCCTTGAGGAGGTGAATTAAAAAAAAAAAAATATATATATATATATATATATATATACATATATATATATATATATATATATATATATATAACATATATATATATATAACATATATATATATATAACATATATATACATATGTATATACATATATATATATATATATATATATATATATATATATATATATATATATATATATATATATATATATATATATATATATATATATATATATATATATATATACACACATATATATACACACACATACTTATATAAATGTTTAAATTAGTAGAAAATCACTTGTCAAACTTTTTTCATTTTACACTGTGTATTATCAGTTAAGACTCATCAGAAAAATGTTTATATATAATAGACTCATCAGAAAAATGTGTTTATATATAATAAACACATACATACGTATGTGTTCATACACGACTTCATTTTTTCTAATTTCGATGGCTGCATACATATGAATGAATGAATTTGATTTTATTTAGAATCAATAAATTCACAATCAAGAGTAATTTAATTTTTTTCACAAAATTTAATAATACTGTAAACTATTCAATCATTAATTATAAAGTATATATATTTAAATGTATTTATTGCAGTTAATTAGTTTACTAAAATAATTTACTAATCTCTATTATTATCTTTAATATAAAAGTTTAAAATTTCCAAAAAACATGACAAAAGATTTGCGACATAGTTTTGGTTCATCTTAAATACAAACCAAAAAACTAATATAATATCATATAATTTTATATAAGATTATATGCCACTTTAATGATTTTATAATTGTTATTTTAATGAGTTTATAATTATATTTCAAATTACTGAATTTAGTGAACTATTAAAAAAAAAAAAATTTTTATAATACATAAAAATATAAAACTTTAACATACCAAATTGACTGCCCATGGACCAAGATCTAAAAATCTTCCCAATAAGTCTAAAGCCCTAAGGCGATGAACTTGGCTTAACAAAACCTTCATAAAAAATAAAAATAAAAAATATTTTTGAAATTTAAATATTTTTTTACAATTTTTTTATCACTATGTAAATTTTTATTAACAAAAAATTATATTATGATAACTAATAGGCCATAGCTAATTAAAGAACCATAACCAATTAAGTTTTAAAATTGTTTAAGCTACACAGTAAAATACAATGCAATCCATATTATGGATTGATACAATAGAAATTTGAAATCATACATTAAATCAAATTATATAAAAAAATTATGAGTTGTTTATATCAGTACTTTTATCCCTGCTTCATAATCAAATGTTTAATATTCACAGATATTTTTCTGATAAAGCTATATTTCATTTGCTAACATGAACATGTTTATGTATATGTTCATAAACACATTTATAAAATTATAAAAACAAAACAATCATAGTAAATATATGTATATGATTGAAAAAATCTTCTTTGTGATTTTCAGACTGCATTATTGTGCCATATTTTTGGTCCCATATGGAAATGTTAATTCTGAAAATTATTTACAAATGCTACTGACACAATTCTAATTAATAAAACAATAAAAATTCATGACGATGATGATAATGATGATGATAATGATGATGATGATCATCATCATTATCATCATCATTATCATCATCATTGTTGTGATCATGAATATGACTATTATCATCATTATCATCATCATTACTACTCGAGTAATTTAGTTTATTTATTACTTGTTTATCAATTTCAAACTACATTTATTTAAAATAAGGTAAAAAATCTTTACTATAGTTTATAAATAAGGTAAAAAATTTAATTTAAGGTAAAAGAAAATGCGTTAATTTCTGAATTATGTCTAAGTAGTTTATCTAGCTATTACCTGGCTCAATTGGCTGTTATGTTAGTAAATAGGTTTGTATAAAGAATAATTTATAAGCTTTATTTATATATCAGATCAAGAAAAATACCTGGAGAACAACTGGCAATTGTTCAGGTGGTTCTCTATCTTCTCTTCCCATAGCCAGCCATACTTGAAATGCTGTAAGTTGCTCATAAAAAAAAGTACTATTTTTGTACTTGTTTATATCCTCAATAATAACAGGTAACTGTGAAAGACACTGATCTACTGCCAAATCCCATGCTAACCTGCAATAAAAATGTTTTAACAACAAAAATGAACACACAACATTTATTTCAGATAAAAACATAATCATAATAATTGAAGAAATTTTTATTTCAAACATTTTCATAAATTAAATTTTAACTTCAAATATTATGAACATGTTTTTTTTTTTATCTTTTTACAGAATATCTTTTAATTGTAATAATTTAATTGAACACTGGAGCATACATGAAATAAGAGGAGGAATTAGTAGTAATAAATGAAGAATCATTAGTAATTTTTTAATCATCAGAGGAAGAATCATGTATATAAATTAATGTAACCATTGGTTACATTAATTTATATACATGAGCACCATTGGTTACATTAATTTACATACATGAGCACCATTGGTTACGTTAATTTATATATATGAGCACCATTGGTACATTAGTTTATATACATGAGCAGGTTATCTTAAATTGGTTACATTAATTTATATACATGAGCAGATTATCTTATAGGCTGAATACCACTGCCTTGGTGCCTTTATATAATATATAAATATAATATATAATGTTTTAAAGTATTACAGATTAACTGATTTTATAAAAAAAAAAAAATTATTAAAAAGCCCACTTTTAGCCCTTAAAACTTGATTTGTGGTAGTTAGATTAGCGCTTCATGATCTTTAAAGTACCTTCATTTGTTTACTAATTAGAGTTTAAATGTTTCTGTAGTTAATAATCTATCTTGTTGATCTGACTTTTTTGCCCTGGCCAAAAAAAGATCTGTTGCCTGGCTAAAAAAACTTAATACTTAGCCAGGGCAAAAAAATTGTATGTTCAAAATTGCCTTGCTGATGAAATTCTTGATCTTGTGTAAAACAAAATACAATTATTAAAATATTGAGAAATTACTATCACACAGAGTATCAAATATAGACCCTATCACAAAGAGTTGCTTCCAGCACATTTTCATCAGACTAATAAAAGCTGTTAAAAACAAAGGCTTCTTTACTTTGAAAAACTTTCAGTTTTTATCCTAATTAATTTTTAATTAATGACATGATTTAAATGATTCTTGAAATATTTTACAATATCTGTGAAAATATTTTTTTAAAGTAATTTTGTTTTAGCATGAAAAATCTGTTATTATTTTTTTTAAATATTACTGGTAATTTCTGTTTTACAGCATATAGAGATAAAAGAATTTTAGAAAATCTATTTAAACATGAAATTTAATGGGAAAAATACTATATAATGGTATATATAATACTGTCATTGCTATATAATGGTAGAAAAAATATTAAACAATACAAACATATAAATCATTCATCAAATTTAATGTCTTTAATTCACCATTTTTAAGTCAACTTTAAAAATTTCATTGCTTTTTTCACAGAAATTTATGCTTACAATAATAGCAAGATTATGGATCTAAGCAGATTATGTCCAATTTATTAACATCGAGATCTTCCACACCTACACCGAGTGCATACACAATTCAAGTTGTTTAACCTTTTCTTATTTATGCAATTTTGTGTAGCTGTTTTTTGACCAATAAAGAGATCTTTCGCATTATAAAAAATAAACCATGCAAACAATAGTTCAATAAAAAGCTTGTCTCAAGTAACAGTAAACTTGTCTCAATTAACTAATTTAATTTAAAGTATTGTGATTTATTAAAGTTTACTAAGTATCAATTATATATATATATATATATATATATATATATATATATATATATATATATATATATATACATACATTTATACAAGTAAAGCCTTAATGATATATAAAAACACTTTTAATAGTAATTTTATAATAAAAAAAAACTAATAATAACTTGTCAAAGTTAATAAGCTAACTTTCATGTTGGCTTTATAATAGGGTTGAAAAAGAGTTGCAAATAAAAATAAAATATAAATAAAATGAATAAGTAATTGAATAGCCACATTGACTTAAGTTGGCCTCCTCTGGAACATTGGGGAAGTGAAGTGAACCAAAAAAAAAAAATTGACAGTTGACAACAGCATTGAAAATAACAGACCATCAACAACTGTACAAAATGACCACATTTGCTACATATTATCATTGTGAAAGCAATACAAACTCATTAATCTAAAACAGTTTTTTTTATTCATAAAGTTAACTGGAGGTAAAATTTAATACACAGAAAAATTTTTCCACAAAAAATAGGCCATCAAGTCTATGTATTAGCTTTTCTGGTCACTCTTTATTTTTTATTCAACATTCTAAATGTATATTATTATTTTAAATAAATATGACTATTATTTTGTACATATTATTAATAAGCAATAAAAATTTAAAATTAAATTAATTGAAAAAATATAAATTTAAAAAATAATAAAAATAAAAATTACCACTATAAATGTGAACAAATTGCAAGAAAGTCTTAAAATAATCTCACCACATATGATGATGGTACATGGGTGGAAGTTTTGGGCTAGTAACAGGAGTACAGCAATATGAACGCATAACTCTTTCAGCAAGCAAGTAATTTCTAAATAAACTTGCAACTAACATATCTTGACGAAATAGTTTTTGAAATAATTCTAAAATAAAAAAATTTAAAACAAATTTCAGAACATATATACAAACCATTCTAGACATTTTGTATTTTAAATTCAATTGAATTAAATGTAGTCTATATTAATCTACTGTAATATACATTTATCTAATCTTCATTATTCTATAATAGTACTGTATATAGTTACCTATAGCCATCTTCATTAACCTACTGTAATCTACTATCATTGACTGTAATCTAAAATCATCTGTCATAATCAACATTACTCTTATGATGTATAGTGATAAAGCACTTATATCCTAAGTTGAAGAAAAGGGAGACAGCATATGATGTGGCCAAATCCCACCACAACTCTGGCAATACAGCATTTAAACTGTTGTTTTTTTTTAACTCTTTGATCATCAAAAACTCTGTTTTAAAGTCAAAAAAGGGTTGAAAAATAAAAGCATATATAAAAAGACAATAATGATATAAAAACAATTATGATAAATTCCTTCATTTAAGAATACCAAGGAAAGATTTTTAGGAAAAAAAAGCCATTTTAGGAAAGAAAAATTTTCTAGGCATTTCATAACATTTAACAAACTTGTAAAAACTCAGAGCTTTCAGACTATGAAAACCAAGGCTCGAATTAATGCAAAAAAAATCTAATTGTGATACCCCCTGCCTCATCCCTTGCAGCGCATTGCAATAAGGGGGATGGTAGCATTAGTATAAAATTGTATCTTTTAAACATTAGTTCATAATTGTTATTTTTTTAACATATCAACTCTCATATTTAAACACTATCTTATAATTTTCTCATTTGGCAGAGTTCAAAATAGCGTAAGTTACTGTTATAATTTACAGCTTAAGCTATAATTTAAAGTTTGCAGTTATAGTGTAATGAGCAAGTAACGTATTTAATATTATTAAGATATTACGCAAATATTACAATATTTTACCCATTTTAATTAATCATTGAAAACAATTTAATACATTCATGCTGACGATGAAACACGTGTTATTTTCAAAGACTATTTAATAGTTATTGTAAAAAGCTATAAAACAACTATAAAACAAACTGTAAAGTTGTTTTAACAATATAAAGAGCTTGTGTTAATATAAAACAACTTTGGGACGTTATTTTATTGCTGTTTTATACAGTTTATAACCTTAATAACATAAAACACATTTAAAATAAAACAAAGTAAATAAATAGGATTGTTCTAATTAATAAATTAAAACATTATTGTCATAAAACATTAAACTTCATATTTGCGCAAAAACATTCCTATACCCCATACAAGTTTATAATCTATAGACCAAACGAGTAAGACCAAAGCAAAAAAAATTAGACACCACATTTTTAATAATTTATCATTTCATGATTTAGCGTACTATTAAAGATTTAAGTTTATTTTAGTTTTTCATTCAAATTCATTCAAACTTGATGTTTTCATTCAATTTTTTCAAATGTTTTGTAATAAAAAGTGAAACAAAAAAAAAAAAAAAGTTTAATAAATCGAATTATATTTCCTTATAAAATTAAGAATGTGCTTATTTATTCTTTTAGAAAAAAAATTCTTTAAACAGAAGTAAAACAATTTATTCATTTTTATTTTTTATAATTTAATTTTTATTTAAACATTTGCAATCATTGGTTTAATGTTTGCAAGTATGTAATTAAATTTAGTATGTTTCTACTTTTAGTAGTATGTTTCTACTTTTAAAACTATTTTCATGAAACAAAATATAATTAACTCAAAATGTTTACGATTTAAATAAAACTTACTTCCTCACTTCCACTATGTTCTAAATCTGATATTGTGACTGTAGCTAGATATACATTCAGCAATAATTCTCGCTATGCTGGGTATTACCCCGCTGATTTAAATTTATAATTATTGAGCGTTAAAATTCTTTTAAGTTTTTCCAATTTTTTTTCAATTATAAAACTTTTTGAATTCTTTTGTTCAAATAGATTTCTTTTCAAATTAAGTTCCTAAAAACAACTTGCGTATTTATAGAAAATGTTTGATATCGCTTTAAATAAAATATTAAAAAATGATATCGTGTTTTTTATATTCTATTCAAGATTTTTTATTAAAAAAAATTTTAATTAGAAACCTATATTATGAATTAACAACATATAAGATATAAATAGAAACATTTATATGGCTAATTTTTGCAAGTTTTTGAGTATAAGTAAACTTAATAGTTGAGAAACTGTAAGTAACTGTAACAGTTTTTGCATTTAACCTGTTTTTTTTTTCACAAATCTGGTGGGTTTTTTCATTTAATCTGGTGGTTTTTTGCATTTAATTTGGCAGTTTTTTGTATTTAATCTGGTGGTTTTTTGCATTTAATCTGGCATTTTTTTGTATTTAATCTGGTGGTTTTTTGCATTTAATCTGGCAGATTTCTTTATCATGACAAATAGTTTTGCTTTTATTGCTTAACCTAATTTATTTTCCTTACACAATTACACTAAAGTCCATTTCTTCTTTAAAACTCTAAAATAAATAACGCATGAAGACAATGCACAGAAATTAATGTTAAAGTAAGAAATTTGATTATTAATCTTATAATTAACAAAGAAAAAAGTGTAAAAGTATCAAAACTCGTGCATAGAAATGAGACTTTAATACGATGCCTGGTCCATCAATATATATCAACAAGTAATATCAATCCTGGTATTAGAGGTATTAAATAATCCTGGTATTAGGGTGAATAAGTTACACGAGTTTATTGGAGTAATTGAATAACAGAAACTATAATCTACAGGAGATCAAGGTAGAAACTATAATCTACAGGAGATCCAGGTAGAATTGGAGAGGTAGAGGAGGTAGAATTGAGAATTAAAGAAATATTTATATTGATGAAAGTCTGTTCAATTTTCATATGATAAAAAACCACGGATATAGTCTCCAAGGAAGGACCCCAAATCAACGTGTATTGTCATCAAGAGGCCCTAACATAACCAGGATATTAGCTTTAAATTGTGTAAACATAGTCCACAGTGAAGCAATAATTGGCATAGGGGTGACAGCAGATATCTTTAAAGGATTCTTGAACACACATAAAAGTAATTTGGGGGAGAAAGAAGAGTTTACCTTGGTGATGGACAACGTTAGCTTATTCATTATCAGATTTTTCTTATAGTTATCACTATGATATTCATAACTACATAAATACTATTGGATTATACTATTTTGTTACACATCTAAATTATTTATAACTGGAATATATGGAATACTTTTTATTACTAATTATTTAAATGATCTATAACATGCATTATAAAAATGATATAAATTTTAAAATCGTCAGATTAAATGAAAAAAACCACCAGATTCATGCAAAAAACCACCAGATTCATGCAAAAAACTACCAGATAAATAGCAAAAACTTAACTGGTTTTTTTTAATGTATTAAAACTTAAATTAAAAGTAAAAAAGCTGCGGAGAAAGTTTAAAAAAATGTTTTTATGTGCTTTTACAGCAATTTACTTATCCATTCAGTAAATTTACAGTGATGTACTTTATCCATTCAGCAAATCAAACTAATTATAACTTTAAATAATATTGGCTTCCACACAGAGATTTAAAGTAATTTAAACTCAAAAGAATTTTATGTTGAGTAAAATCTCTGTGCAAGAGAGCAAAGATCATACTTCTATTCAAAAGTTTAACGTGACCCTAATTTATGACCAATAATAAAAAACTTAACAAAAAACATTTTAAGAATGGCCGAAAAAAAGCTAAATTAGAAAAATAAAAAAATAAAAATAAATCAAAATCAAACAAATTGCAAAAACATTTTTAAAGAAAAAACTAATTGCAAAAGTGTTAAAAGAAATCGTGATTTGCGATACACTTAATTCGAGCCCTGAACACTATTTTCTACTAAAGTTTTTTCTCTCCACAATTCAATGGTTTGATATTAACATTTTTTTTTCTATTATTCTAATATTACAATGAATAAACTATGTGACAGCATGAACGTTAGTTAAAAAATTTAGTTTTCTATAACCTCTATATAGAATATATATATATATATATATATATATATATATATATATATATATATATATATATATATATATATATATATATATATATATATATATATATATATATATATATATATATATACATACATACATACATAAACATATTTCCTCATATATTATAAAACTTTCATAGTTTTCCAATTAAATTTTTTCAGAGAAACTATCATAGTATAAAAAAGTATAAAAGAAAATAGCAAACTAAATCACCTATAGGAAGTGTGAGCCATGCTATAGTGTCTGTAACAGCTATAAAAATCCAGGACAATTCACCAAGGGGTGTTCTTCGATCATTTAACTGTCCCGGAATTCTAAAATATAATATTTTACATTAGATATTATTATTACTTAATTGCAGTTGTAGAACTTTTGTGATTCCAAGTTCAAACTCATCTTTTTGCGTCAAGAAGTACAAAGCACAACCTGTTTCTCAGGATGTTTGAACATGGTTTGTGTTTCAAAGTTTAGGTTCTAGAGAGAGAGTTTCAAATAAAATAAAATTAAAAAAAAAAAAGAAAGAGTTTTCTTCTTTGACTTAAGTGGCATCCTCAGGAGCCTTAAGGAGGTGAACTTAATTTAAAAAATACATACCTAAAAAAAATTTATCAAAAACAAAGTATTAAAAAGAAAATTAACAATTAAAAATTTTTACAATATTACTTTTCTATTAAATCAACTGTTATTCCTGGAACTAAATTTCCCATACGCTGGCTTACAAACCTAAAAATAAAATCATAGTTGACAAAATGAAATTGTAATGATTTCAAATCAATTTTATATTTATATTTAATTTAATTACATATAAATATATATATATATATATATATATATATATATATATATATATATATATATATATATATATATATATATATATACATATTTATTTGACGCCATTCTGAATTAGGAAGCTGTAAGGGCATACATCAACTAATAAAAAGAAAACATTCAAGGGAGTTGCTGATAAAAGTTAAAAATAAGGCATTTTATAGATAAAATATTTTCATAAAAATAATTTCAAAAAGTTTTTTAAGTTGTATGTTATAATGATATATATTTAATAGCAATTAAAAATACATCTTATGAGTATTTTTAATTACCTTATTGATATAATTTATTTGTAAATAAATTTATTAAAATATAATCATGAATAATTATTTTGAATTTTTTAAGTTGTTCTTTTTTGATGCACTTTACCAGCAATTTAATTTACTAACAGTATTTTTAATAACCTTAATAAAAAATATTCTAAACTTATTTTACAGAAAGTTTAAAGTGATATTTACGTCCACAAATGTCTTTATTTTAAACATTTAAATGTCTTTTTTAAATATTTTAATACCTTTTTTTAAATATTTAAATATAATTTTTAAATATTAATTGTGCAAACCTTATTATGTAAAATTTGTAACTTCCCTAACTTAAGCTAAACAGCAGTAAAAATGTAACTAAAAAGTCTTTAATAATAAAAATAAATAACCAAACAACAAATAAATAACAAAATAATAAATAATTAACAAAACAACAAATAAATAAAAAAAACAAACAAATAAGTAACGAAATAACAAAAAAATAACAAACAAATAACGAAATAACAAAAAAATAACAAACAATATAAATTATAACAAATGATATAAAAAGTTTTGGAAGAACGTCATTAATTTACTTAATAATTCTATTAATCATAATAAAACTTTATTTTTAATAATTATTATATCATTAATTAAGCATTTTTAACAATTTAATATATATATATATATATATATATATATATATATATATATATATACATATATATATATATATATATATATACATATATATATATATATATATATATATATATATATATATATATATATATGTGTATATATATGTTTATGTATGTATGTATGTATGTATGTATATATATATATATATATATATATATATATATATATATATATATATATATATATATATATATATATATATATATATATATATATATATATATATATATGTATGTATGTATGTATGTATATATGTATGTATGTATGTATGTATGTATATATGTATATATATATATATATATATATAAATATATATATATATATATATATATATATATATATATATATATATATATATATATATATATATATATATATATATATATATATGTATGCACATATATGTATGATGTATGTATGTATGTATGTATGTATGTGTATATATATACATATATATATATATATATATATATATATATATATATATATATATATATATATATATATATATATATATATATATATATATATATATATATATATATATATATATGTATATATTTCTTGAGCAACATAATAGCAATAAATGTGAACAAATTTTAAAGAAAAACAATATCTTTTAATCTTGACATTTTTTGTATTTAACATACTACATATTTAAAAGACAAAATTACGATTTAAAACTCTGGATATAAGTATAAAATCAAAATTTGAAGACATTACAGAGAAATAATAACAGACAAATAAAATTGTTACAAACCAATAAAAATTATAATACAAATTACAATACCGTAATAGTAACAACAACAACAACAAAAAAAAGTAATAGGTAAATAAAAAAAACAAAAACAAACTAGATTGACAAATTTATATTATAATAAGCAGATTGTTTATTTAAAGATGGGTTTTCCCATTTAATATGCAGTGCTTCTTTAATTTTCAATTTGCATTCATTAGGAGCATTATCCAAAATTTTAAAAACAATTACAGTTACATAGATTTTTACAATTAACAGATGAAATTAAATGCTTATAAACATTAGATTGTTTGTCACTTGTAAGATGCTCATGAATCCTTGTTGTTAAGTGTCAGGAGGTTTCTCCAATATAATTGGCATTACATCCAGCACAAGAAAATTTGTAAACAACATTGGATTTGAGCAGCTTAGGAAGTGGATCTTTTATACATAAACTGTTTTGTAATTTGTTAGTAGTGAAAATTAAATTAATTATAACATCTTTACAATACTTTTTAATGATTTTATTAACTTTAGATTTAATGAAATTTGAGTAAAATCCTATAAATTTAGTTTATAATATCTTATATTAACCCATATATTAGGGTTATCAATTCTATTTATCACAGATGGATTTAAGTTTTTATCAACAAATAATTTAATTTCAATGTCAATTATTTTAGGTGGATATTGGTTATTTTTTAAAACATTAGATAGATTTTTTATGTCCTTATCAAATCCTAGCCATGTGTTGTTGATTTTATACATTCTATCAATTAAACAAAGTATAAGACTAATTTAATAACATAATATTTCCCGTTAAATAAGAAATGAAAACCGGATGTTAAATTTTTTGAACTGAGCTTTAGAAAAATATTTTAAACAAGTTTCATCTTTAAAGTATAAATCAGTAGCTATATTTATAGTTTCATTAAGTGAAATATTAGTAAATAAGTTTTCAACATCATAAGAAACTATATATTTGTTAGTCATATCAACATTTTACAGTAAAAAAATAAAAACATTCAGAATGTTTTTATTAAAAAAAAAAAAAAAAAAAAAAACATTCAGTATGTTTTTATAGCATTCCAGTCATTTCCATTATAACATTTTAATTTGTGTTTTTCTAGTTTTAAAAAAAAAAAAACAATAAATTTAATGAGTTTTCTCAAATAAATTAATGCGTTTTGTTATTATCTAACCTTATTTTTGTTAAACTAGATGTCACAAAGCATCTAAGTGCTGTTTTTTACCACAAACGGTAAGTTTAAAACCTTTACTATAGGAATATATACACACACACATATATATATATACACACACACACACACACGTGTATAAACATATATATATGTATAAACATATATATATTTATAAACATATATATATGTATAAACATATTTATATGTAATTAAAAAAATGAAGAGTCCAAATTTTGTTGGACATTTGGAGTTAGCTCTGGTTTTTGTTCACAAATCTTTTAAAGATAATTTTAAAAGCAAACATTACCATTGCAAAGCAACTTTTATGGGTGTAGTTAAACATGAAGTGAACAAATCAGCTGGAAGATCAGGCATCATTGGTAATAGTTCATTTGGTCCACAAGCAGCTAACTGTATACAGTTATTAACCAATGGTGGGAGTCCTGGATTTGATCCTTGAGCTGAAGCACGCTATAAATAGTAAATCATAATAGCCTAATTAGGTTTTAATATTTTTTCTATATTAACATAAAAATAATGTGGTAGTAGACTAGTGGTAAAACTTTCTGCAAAAATCAAGAGGTTTAAAGTTCAAATTCCCTAAACACCTCTACTATCACACTTAGCCTGTTTCTCCATATAATGGCCTTGATTAACAAGGTTCGTGTTTGAGAAATTGGGTTGAGAAAGTTAAAACTAAAAAATTAAAAAAAAAAAAATGATTAGCCTTGTTAAATGTAGAACCTTTGACCATTTCACCTCCCAAGGCTCCCACTGGAGCCTTGGGAGTTGATTTGGTGAAATTAATAAAACATAAAATAAAAAAAAGTAATGATAAAAAAAAAACAAAGCTGAACTTAACAATCTTTGAAAATTAATAATTGCTACAAATTAAAAATGATTTTCTAACAAAAAATAAAATTATATAAATTAATATTAAAAAAGCAATATAAAAAACGTAATATAAAAATAATACCTCATACTCCTGTTCTCTTTGTTGAGCAAAGTGTTTAAAACATTCTAATATTAATCCTAAACAGAAGTTATATATATATATATATATATATATATATATATATATATATATATATATATATATATATATATATATATATATATATATATATATATATATATATATATATATATATATATATATATATATATATATATATATATATATATATATATATATATATATATATATATATATATATATATATATATATATATATATATATTAGTCTTCTCTGTTTGAAATTAAATGCCAGCGGACAAAAAAGCACAGGATGGTCATTTTTAAGTTAGCCTGCGCGATTTAAAAAAACTGGTAAAAAAAAGCCTTTTTTCATAAAAGTTGAATAAATGAACAAAAAAGTTTTGGTGCAATTTAAAATAAAATGCTTTTATTTTTTTTGGCAAGTGCTTTTTTATGCGCTCGCCAAAGTTTTTATGGGCATGTGGATGAGCGCGAAAAGACTTAAGTGCAAAAGCTAAACGGAGAAGACTGATATATATAAATAAATGCAATTGATACTTTAACATTAATTTGGCGATGAAATTTTTTTAAAAAAAACTGGTAAAAAAAAGCCTTTTTTCATAAAAGTTGAATAAATGAACATTAAAGTTTTGGTGCAATTTAAAATAAAATGCTTTTATTTTTTTTGGCAAGTGCTTTTTTATGTGCTCGCATAAAAAAGCACTTGCCATTTTATTAAAAAAAAAAAAAAAAAGACTAAATGCAAAAGAAAGAAATAATGTTGTTTAGTTAAATACAGCAATTATTATTCAAATAATATATACATTTTTTTTATAAAAATAATAATAAAATAAGAACTTTAATTATTTATAAAAAAGATTTTTACCACCAGTAAAATGAAATAATCTAAATAAGCAAAAAAATGAATAGATAAAATGTTTACACAATTTATAATATTCGTATTATATTTATGTATATATATATGAATATATATATATATATATATATATATATATATATATATATATATATATATATATATATATATATATATATATATATATATATATATATATATGAATATATATATATATATATATGATATATATATATATATATATGAATATATATATATATATATATATATATATATAAATATATATATATATATATCCTTAGCGTGGTCAGCACTGAAGAACAAAAACTTTGTCTGCAAGCTGATATTGACAATTGTTAATTGGGTTCAAGAATGGCTTATGGAAATAAAAATTAGGAAATGTAAAATAATGCATTTCAACCAATCTAAATCCATTCCACACCAATTCAACAGAATTCAACTTGAACCACCCTCATCAGAAAAAGAAATTGGTGTTTTAATTTCCAATGACCTAAAGCAAAATTTCCAAACATCTATTGCTGTAGCCAAGGCTAACAAAATGCTTGGTATCCTAAAACACAGCTTCATAAGCAGAGATGCACAACTCTGGAAAAAGCTATATACAACTTATATAAATCCACTTTTAAAATTTTCTATTACTGCTTGGTGTCCTTATTTAGAAAAGAACATTTTTGCAATTAGATTTTTTAAGCTTGAAGCAAAGATCATAAAAATATAATTTACTTCTAATAAAAAATATATGATATAAAACTAATTTAATAAAAATATATAATTATATTCTAATAAAAAAATAAATAATTTAATTTAGATTTTAAAAATAAATAATTTAATTTTTTGCTAGACTAGATCGTACAAAACTTCATCGCTATTGCTAGACTAGATCATACAAAACTTTATTGTTACAGACTATGCACATTGTTGCGCCAGTCCTCAAAGCTGTTGGGATTGACATCAAAGATAGGACAATATCTGCAAGCTCAATTTACAGAGCTCGTAAAATAATTAAAAAATCTATAGGCCAAAACATTTAAGAAATATTTGTGCAAACCCCCCTTATTGCCCATTTTGATAGTAAAATTCTACCAAACACATATGAAAACCTGGATGCCAACTATTATATCAGGTTTGTCGAAAAGATTTTAAACTTTGCGTGGGCGCTGGAGAGCTTATGGGAAACTCGGTTGTTGAAGCATTGAAAAAATGGAAAGTTGTTCCAGATTGGCTGGCAGGTCTATGTTTTGACACAACAAGTTCAAACACTGGTGTTCACACTGGCACAATTACTGTCATTCAGCAGATATATATCAGCATATGAGCAGCAGATATATCAGCATATATAGATATATAGCAGATATATATCAGCATATGACCAGCAGATAAATCAGCATATGATAAACGAATTTGCTCGAAATACTAAAATGAAATTGATGACATGAAAAGTAAAAATGTCACTGACAATGACATTGAATTTGATAGATTTATTTGATATTTATTGATAGTTGATTAATAATTTAGTTATTGTTTTTCTTGAAAATAATTTGCAAAATAATTTTGCGTGTTTATTATTTATCTTTTTATAGAAATTATTTGCATTTTAAAACATTCAAAATAACTTTTTTTCTAGAAATTATTTGCATTAAAAATATTCAAAATAACTTTTTTAAACTTCTTTTTTGAGATTTAAAACTCATCAAAAACATCAAACAAAGAATGTTTAAGCCTGAAGATTTTTTATTTTGTAAGTTTATATATGGTAGTGGTAGAGCGCTTGCTTCATAAGCAAGAAGTTCCAAGTTCGATTTCTACCATGACCCTAACTTGTTTTCAGAGTTGAAGAGTTGAGAAAGGGTTGTAGCCACAATAAAGTAGTCTCCTAAACTGTAGTGGCCTTCTTGACCTTGGGAAGGTGATTAAAAAAAAAATTAGAGAACTGCACTTTTTATTTCAATGAAAAAATTGTATGCCAGACAATGTAGTAAATACTACCTCAGTGAAAAAGTTGTATGCCAACAACCAAATTTGATTTGAAATTTTCTATATATTTAATTTATTACTATATAATTTATGTGCCAAGTGTTTTATTGTTAAATATTTTCCTTAAAAAAAAAGAACAGCCAAATATAAATGCTATATAAAAATGCCATGTTTTTATATCGATATAAATAAACATATACACTTGCCATATGATTTTATCACATTATATATTGAACAACTTAATAATAGTAATATTATTCATTTGTGCATGTTTGCACAGAACACATAGCAACCGTTAAACCCAAGTTAATAGCGAGAAAGAGTCTCTCACTAAAGAGTCTCTCAGCAATTTTTTTAATAAGAAAATGCAAACAAAAGTGTAAATATCAAATTCATGTAAATTTTAAACTTTGGAAATGGTTAAATTTATTTTAGGTTTGTAGTTTTACTTTTTAAGTTTTCTTAGCATTATAATATTTTAATCAATATTTTAAATGAAATTATAAATAAAAAGTTTAATCTCATTTGATGATATGAAAATTTTATATAATTTTTTTATTTATTATAAAAGATTTTTTGCTCATTATAAGTTTATAAAAAGATTGTTTATCATTAGAAACTAAATTTTAATATTTTAGTTAATTCAAATAGAAGAACTATAAAGTTATTCGATTTTTCTTTTTATCAGCATTTAATATAATGATTTAATAAATTTTAATTGAATCTTTATTTCCATTTTTAGTTAATTTTATTAATGATTCTAACGATTGTTACTGAAACTAACTCTTTCAGCTAAGATCTTTATATTCTTAAAGTTTAGATGTTTTATATTGGCTCTTAAAGTTTAGATGTTTTATATTGGCTCTTAAAGTTTAGATGTTTTATATTGGCTCTTAAAGTTTAGATGTTTTATATTTATATATGTATATATACATATATTTTTTTCTCTATTCTACACATTAAAACAAATATTTTAATATCACAAAAAGTTAGTACAGATATAGTTATAATATTTATAATATTTCTATAAATATTTCTCATGTCTCATTTTTCATCAACAAATATTTAAAAAGATTTAAAACCAACAACAAAATATGATTTGTAGTTTTTACATGTAATGTCTTTGCTTCTTTTATATCTTTTACAAAAATTATCTTACAATGCTTTTTTAGCTTATCTTAGAATGAATAAAGGGCCCGCATCCTATAAGGTGCACAGAGTCTGAGCCCTAACTTGTGGCAAAATCCCTCTTTTTGTAGGGAGGGTGGCTCCCTTAGAAACAGAATTATGGGGTAGTAAAAAAATATTAGACTACACCAATAAATTGTATTTTTGGAGTTTGCTAATCTACTAATGGTTTTATAACTAATGTAGTTAAATGTTTTTTGTAAACATATATTTTTTAATATTTTGTTTCGTTATTTTGTATAAATATAGTAATTATAAAAAATAAAAATGTTTTTTGTTCTTTTTGTAAATAAGAACTTGTATTGTTTTGTATGTAAGTAAATTTTGTTGAAAAGACTTTAGTTCCTAGATAATAATTAATGCTTTTTTTAATTCTCAAAAAGTTATTTACTTTGTTCCTTTTTCTTAATAATGGATATTTTGCTGATTGTAAATAAGTATACACATACTTGAATAAGTAAATACAATTTTATTTTGCATTTTATAATATTGATAAAAGTTTCTTTTTGATTTAAAATTTTGATTACCTTCTCCTCATGTTTATTATAAGAAGATTTAAAGTATAAAACTTTAGTTGTTAACCCGAAGCCTAGATTTTTAAAGGAATAATTTTTTTACCATTTACAAAAAAACATTAAAGAGACCAAATGAACAATAAAATTAAAAATAGTTGGTATTGAACAGACTTACAACGACCCATATTTTATGAGCTGAATAGCTAGTATAAATAAATATATACACATGCCATATATTTTTATATAAATATAAATAAGTTATTCCTTCAGTTTAAAATAATTTTGCACTAAATTTAAGAACTATATACCTGCATTAGAGCAGTCATAAACATATATAGAAGGACTCCCCATCCATGTCTGTAAATCATATATAGAGAGTGGAATGTATTGTGTATATTGCTAAAAAAAAAAGAAAAAAGATTAACATGAATTTCAATTTTTTATTTTAAATAACTGTTTAAAAAGAAAGAAAAAAAACAACTCTAAATTCTGTAAACTATAATAAACAAAAAGAGTAACGATTATTTGATAATTACTTTGTTAAAAACCCAGATTTCACCATTTGCAGTTGGCCTTGGAACACCATGTCCATTATAATGAAATAACACTCTTTCTTCCTAAATTTAAAAGAAAAAGATTGTAACTTTATGTTTTAATCTTGTATATTTATTGTTTTAATTATAATTGTTTATTTTAATCTATCAGAATTAAACAATATGCAGTAAAAATTTGATAAAATTACTTTGGCATTTCTTCTTAAAGAAGTACATAACTTCTTTACATCTTCTACTGTTGGATCAAGGTTATGTCTATATCGAGCCTAAAAAACAAAAGGTTATGTCTATATCGAGCCTAAAAACCGAAAATCAGTATTTATCTTTAAATGATACGAACTTAAAAACACAAAAACATGCATAATATAAATTATTATTATTTTTATCTTTATGTTGCCATTTATGGCAGTGACCTTCAAAAACTGCTTGATGTTTGTTTTATTTTTGCATTGGATCATGGATATTTTTTGCACTGGATCATGGGTGTTTATTGCACTGGATCATGATATTATATTTAGGAACACAGTAACTACAAGTAATTAAAAAATTTATAAAATATTGCTTTTTATTTAATTGCAAAACTTATGTAAAAGTTGTATTTTCTTTGTTTATAATTTTATATATAATGCTCTATGAAATAATTTAAATAAATACTCTTTATTTATTATTACACACTCTTATGTGTACAAAAGCTTTTTGTATTTTACCTACGTGTTAAGCCATTAATGTTATGCCAAAAATATTTTCAATTGAAATATTTAAACAGTCTTTTGAAATAGTTCAAGCAGAAAATATTAAGTAGTAATTAATTGTTGTAAAAAATATTTTCACTGTTATTGTGCAATAATATTTTTTTGTTTAATTTTTGTTTAAAATTTCAGAACTATGTTAAAGAAAAGAAAATTCTTTTCATCGAAATTTAATTTAAATTTTTTACCTGAATTAAGTTTTCATTTGTTTTACAACCAATTATTTTGTTTGTTATTTATAGTTTCAAATCAATAAATTTTTTCATCTTGTTACAAAAGTATTAAATGCTTATAAATGTATATAATTATGTTGCCACATAAACCATAATTAAGCCTGTAGGCAAAATTATTTTAAAGATTTTTTTAGTAAACTTTATATAAAAAATTCATGCTAAGATGATTTTTTTAGTTAAATTGCTTTTTAATGGTTACATTTTATTTACTTTTTAAAATTTTAGTTCATTATCATTAATTTTTTAGATTGATCTTAGAATGAACGCCGATTAGAAATGATTTACAAGTTTATGAAATGAAGGCAAAGATTTTGTTAAAGCTAAAATGTAAAAAAAAATTTTATTAACAGTTTTTTTTATAATCTGTTGTTTTTTTTTGACAGAATTACATAAATTCACTCATAAACAATTTACCCCTCATTTAGTAAAAAAACAACTAAATTGTAAGAAAGCAAATGTAAGACAATAATGTTGTTTTGAATATTTTAAGAAATAAATAGCAAGCATATGTTTTATAAAATAAGGAATTTTTTTTTTTAAACAACAAATTTGATAATTTTTTCATAACAATATTGTTTAATTAAAGATAATTAGAACTTAAATGATTTGTAACGAGGTTTTAAATTAAATTTAATTACAATACTTTACCATAATACTTTAAAATGTGCAACTGACGTAATTTAACTTTTAACAATATAAATATGTATATTGAGTAAAGTTACATTTATTTGCATTAAACTTTTCCGTTATGCAAAAAAATACATATACAAGGTCTGTATATGTATGTATGTATGCATGTATGCATCTATATATATATATATATATATATATATATATATATATATATATATATATATATATATATATATATATATATATATATATATATATATATATATATATATAATATATATATATATATATATATATATATATATATATCTATATATATATATATCTATATATATATCTATATATATATATATATATATATATATATATATATATATATATATATATATATATATATATATATATATATATATATATATATATATATATATATATATATATATATTATTGGGCCCTATATATATATTATTATAATATATATTATAGGGCCCTGCGAATCAATTTGATTCGGTTTACAAATAAAAGCAGTGTTGCTTGGATTCGAGATTCGCTTTTAAAAAAATGATTCAAGTTTTTCGGTTCACTATTTATTTTGTGAGTGTTATTGTTTTTTCAGATATCTAAGATGCTATCAAAATGTTTTTATTTATCTTAGTGAGAGTAAAGTAATTGTAATCAAAAGTAATATTGCTTCCAAACAACCGCTAAATAATTATTCTGGGCAAATAAAAATTTTCAAGATTTTTTTTTTGTGAGAAAATATGCTTAAATTTGGAGTTCCTCATATTGCCGATTCGATTTGTGATTCAATTCAATTTGTAAATCAAGACCGGCTTCAACTTAAGACCGGCTTCAACTTAAGACCGGCTTCAACTTAAGACTGGCATCAACTTAAGACCGGCTTCAACTTAAGATTCGATTTGAAACTAAAAATGCTAAAAAAATATAAAATAATAAAAATGATAAAAAAACTAAAAAATATATGAATGGAGTTTTTTTTTATTAAAACAATAAATTTTTTTAAATACTTAAAAAATTTGTAGAAAACTTCTTGTGCATTTAAAATATCACGCTCATAAGTATTACATAATTACCCAACAATAAAATAGGGACAAAAAAAAAGGTTTATTTTTGAGAGCGCCTATAAGGTAAAAAATTCGCAAATAAAGATTTTCTTTTAATGTTTTGACAACTATTTTTAAACAAAATTCAAAAACCAGTATAAGAATTTAAATAAAAAACATAAAAAAAAAAAAAAAAAAAAACAACAATAACGAACTATAGAGCTTAAATAGTTTTTAAAAAACTATTTAAATTTTTAGTTTTATACTAATTAAAAACATTTTAAAAATAAATATAAAATTTAACCTATGCAAACTATTTATTCTAAAAATGAACTTCTTCATAAACAATATTTTTTATGGTGCATTTTTCGTTTAATATGTAAAATACAACTTAACCGAAGCAAATATAATAGATACACGCATATTTAATAACTAAAATACAATCTTCTTTTATAAACAGTTATAAAATTTGCTCGCTTAAATTTGAATTATATAACACAAAAACAATTTTAAAAGTATCGAATTCATTTATTTCAAGTTTTAATTATAGACGCTTATAACTACTTACTCTCTTGCTTAAAGCTTTTTCAAGTTTTAAACTTTTAAAAGTAGAAGAAAAAAATTCACAAAAAGAATAACGAATGAACTTTTATATATGAAATTAGAAAGAAACACAAAACAAAAAAATATTTATAAAACAATCAAGCGTTAAAAAAAGCATACATCCCCCCCCCCCGCCCCATGGAAGACCTCTTCAGGATGGCTCTGATCTAAATAAATACTAAAATTGAGTTTAAAAAAATTGGTCAAATGTAACATTTTTTAAAACAATTTTTCTAGTAATCATTAGAATTCTTGAACAAATAAATATCAAAAAGGCAACGGTTGCAAATGATTGCTTCTCTGATATATTATATGATTATGATTGTATATATGTATTATGATGATGATGCAAAAGAGTTAACTAATAAAACTGTTTATAAAAGTAATTTTCCTAATCATTTTAAATTCTCCATCTAAATATAAAAAATAATAATCGTCGTATTTTTTGGGCATGCCTCGTTCTCGAGTACTTCGTGGCAAAGGCACCGTTTCTTGGAATCCATTTTTGGCTTCACTATTTCCTTGTAACACGTCTCCTTTGCTTGTCTCCAACACATTTTTAATTTGCTCACCATGGTTTGCCGCATTATCTTTGTTAGTTTTGCTGGCTGCCACTTAGTATCGCACTTTGCATTTGACGGTTTCAACCAAATATTATCACTATTTTTAAACACTTCTTTTGTGTCAGCTTTTGTTGGAAGATTATTTTTTCTCAATCCTTTCACATTACTTCGATACCTGTATATTTTCTCCATCAGGCTTGCATTGTTTTTGTTAGCTGAGACGTTGTACCAATACACTGCTTCCGGTATTGATATTTTTTATCTTTCTGCAATTCTCTTAATTGCACGATGATTTCTTTCCACAATTCCATTTCCTTCAGGATAATAAGCAGCTCAACATAATGCGCACTCCCCAACCATCAAGAAAACTTCTCAGCTCCTCAGTACATCCTTACTTGGTGTTGAAGATGTTCAACAATGTTGACTATTCTCAACACTAAGTGACAGCTGTTTTTTTTTGCTGACTTGATGTTGACCTGTTATAGGTCGACATCAAGTCAGCAAAAAAAAATTGATAGAAAGGTTTTACCATAAAATATGGCCATATTACCATGAAACAAGGCCCGCAATTTTTGCCATATTAAACACTACTTGGTTAGAAGTTAGGTTCACATTGCCGAATGCCGACCTTAATTTTGAGGGCTGATATATATATATACATATATATGTATGCATACATAAATGCAGCATGAAAATTACACCAATGATATCCTATTATTCTAAGTTATAAGAGCTTTAGTACATACATTGACTATCTTATAGCCTGCAGCCTCAAAGGAGTGTTGCTACATCAACTGAGGGTTTGGCATAGGGCAACAATCTTTTCTTTCATTATTCTTTGCTTTTTTTCTTCTTTTTAAAAAAAAATAAAAATGTACATTTTTGCATTAAGAGCACAAAAATGATATTAGGAAATTGCGTCCTTAGATATGGATTGAGTAGAGATGTGACGCGTTTTTTTAATCGTTTTTTTGGAAAAAAAAAATGTAGGGGTCTAATTTTTTGGGAAATATTCAAAAATTCATTGTTTAAGCTACTAAATTTATCTTAATTCATATTTTAATTTCTGATTTAAATAGGACAATGAATACTTAAATTTACTGAAATTATTTTTATTTTGGTATGCTTAAAGGTTAACACGGTTAAAGCAGTCCTGTAGTAAAACTTCTTAGAAAATTTTATCTTTATTGGTTTAAGTGTATATTGATACAATAAACATTGTTTGTTTACATTTATTATATTTAATTAGATTTAATAATTGATGAATGAGACGAGTGACTGATGAGTCATGAATGACTGAATGACGAGTCAAGCTAAATGATGAGTCAAGCGAGAATGAGTTTTTGTTGATGGAAATAGAGACGATAACTATTTTGAGCAGCAACTCAAAAAAATCTATGAATTTGTAGAAAAGAGAAAGAGATTCAACTTTACGATAATGAGAAAGAGGCTTATGCTTAGCAGAAAAAGCAGTTCCAACTATGTTTACAATGTGTTTTTGGACCTTGTTTAGAAGAAAGATAGCATTATTAGAAGAACCAGCCCAAATATATGACAACAGCATTCCATACAGGGACAAATAAGAGACTTGTAGAGGAAGAGAATGGAGTCAAGGGTAAGAAAATGACGATCATGATAAAGAGATGCTAATTTAGCAATAGATTGTGTATTTTATTACATAAAAGTTTAGTAGTAAATGATAATCCAAGAAGATATAAAAAAAGGGAGGGTTGCGATTCATTAATATAGGAATGTTGACAGTACTGTGATAGTTTTTTGCAGTAAATAACTGGGTTTTGTTGGAGTTAAAATTTACAAGCCAAAATTTGTGAGCCCCAATCTGTTACAGATGTGAGATCAGATTCAAGATCAGCTGTCTGTTCTAAGCAAACTTTTTGTCAAAACAGGAGTAAAAAGTTGAGTCATCAGCAAAAAGAGCTACTTTAGATGTAGGGTTGTCCGGAAGATCAATAATGCAGATAAGAAACAAAGCAGGACCAAGGATAGAACCTTTAGGTACCTCTGAATTTACTGGAAATAAATAACACTGTAGGCCGTCAAAGATGATTTTAATAAAGCGGTTAGAAAGAAATGATTTGATAATATGAGATACAGAATATGAAACAAGCTCATGGAGAAGACCAGCATGCCAAACTTTGTTAAAAGCTTAATAATTCAAATAATGATAATAATAATTCAAAATTTTTTAAAATTTTTTGAAAATAAGTTCATTTTTTTAAAAAGAGTCTACTAGCGATATATACTTTTTTGAAAAATATAACAAATGAACATGTAAGACTAAATTACACAATATACAAATGCTCAAATAAACTACACAATATACAAATGCTCAAATAAACTACTCAATATACAAATGCTCAAATGAGTTAACAAATCTAAACAGATTGCTTATTTTTTGAGCATTTGAAGTCTGATATTAAATTTGCATGGTATTATATACTAATATATTTACATTATCAAAATTAAAATGGTATCTTTCTTATAGGATAAGAAATGTTTCTGTATATAATGAGAATATATATATATATATGTATATATATATATATATATATATATATATATATATATATATATATATATATATATATATATATATATATATATATATATATATATATATATATATATATATATATATATATATATATATATATATATATGTATATATATACATATAGCAGGCTGCTAGACATGTTGAACAAATGAAGAAAACTGGCTGAAACTCGATGCATCAAAAAAAGTGTCATTTTTCCAGTTTTTTGCGAACCAGTCCTTGTACTAATGACAGTCTTTAACATTCTTCTTGATGAGCTTTGCTTTTCAGGCGGGTCTGCATCAAAATCCACTAGCAATTGACATCTTACAGTTCTTGAACACACTGAGTTGTCTATACTGGTCACTAATTGATTTAAGGACCAGCAATAAACGACTGCAGCACCATGGATTATTTCATCAGTGGATGAACTTGTTTTTCTAGGACAACCATTCCTTTGTATGTGACTGCCCAAGTTAAACCTATTCTACTGCAGTCTTAGAAATACCTTTTTTTGCAGCAATTTGCCTGTGTGACATTTTCAGTCACTGCAAAGTGATCACTTGGGCCCGTCTTATGGGTGTTATTTCTGTCTTCTTTCCCATACTAATCAAATTTTAATCTACAAATAGAAATGTACTTTTTTAAAATGGCAGGAAAACTAAATTTTTGAATTTAATTACATGCTTAAAATTTCTTTATTAACTTTAATTATTTTACAGTTTTTTTTATCAAAGAAATACATAAAACTCACACTTGTAGTTTAGATACACTTCTGTCTATTTCCCAGCTTTTATTTGTGTTTAAAATCTCTCTCAAATAAATCATTTTCACGCAAACATCTTATAGTTGAATCAGATATTTACAATTTAAATTGTTATATTCAGCAGAGCTGCAAATTACAACAATGCTGCATTTAAAATCTTTTTGAAATTTGGAATAACTGATGTCTTTTTCAACAATTTTTCTTGGTTGACAAAGACTAGAACTTGTTTCTAAAATTGCCAACATGTTTTAATTTAATTAATGGCTGTTTGGATGCAAATTGACAAGTAGATTTAGCTTTTGTGAAAGGAACTTTTTTTTTTCTTTCAAAAAAAAGTAACTTTAAAAAAAAGTTTTTCAAGTTAGCTCTGTTTCTTGGCCATCAAAATTTTATATTACTAACAAAATATCATCATGTTATAACTTTGTTAGTTTTTTTAATTATCTTAGAGCGTTAGGTATGTGAATTCCTACTAGTTCACAAATCTAGGTGCCATCATAGTTACCCCATTTAACAATTTTTTGTTCACAAGTCATTGTTGTAAAAAGAAAATAATTTCAGCTGTGCTTTATAATTTTAAGTAAATAGTCTATTATGAAAGTGTGTTGGTTTTTAGGGAAATGACTTTATTAAATCAAAAATTTAATAAAGCAGGTTCATCATGTTTTTCTTACTAGAATTATCAGACATTAATTCTTAGCAAACTATTTGAATATATGTATTTCTTCTGACCTGACCAAAGGCACTTTCAGACATCAGCTTTACACATCATTCAAAAGATTGTGTAAATATATTGTTAATTACCTCCTGAATTTGTTTTTTTAGTAATTTTATCTTTTTAAGTAAGTTGATTGGTACCTCCACCCAGCTTTACTTCAATATTAGACCATTTAAAAACATATACTCCTACAATGTACTCATCAATCATTCAATTAACATAATCAAAAGTTTACCTTTTTAGGCAGATTGAAAAATCTTAAAGCAATAGTTAGCCTAGATGGCTAACTATGACAAACAGGAATGATTTCTAGCAATGCTAGTTTCTTAAATGTCACGATTTGGAATGCATAGCTCTGATTGGTGCTCAGATCATTAATAAAATAAGGACTGGGAGAGATAACTGGAGAGGTCTTATAACTTTTATAAATTTTGGATTAGTTTCAAGGTTTGCTAGCATTATTTGGCACCTTAACAAGTAGTCCTGATCATGATTGCTGGTTTTAGTAGAGTCATCAAAAAACTTAATAAGACTTCTTAACCCTAGTTGCCAATGTATAGATCACATATAATCTATAAAGGTTTTCTACCCAGAGTATCACTCCTTTTTCAACCCACAGTATCACTCCTCCAGCCCATCAAGTAATTACATTAGTGTGTTTACAGTAGTATTAAATTAGTATTTCTGAAAGGTTGTGTGGTACTTTAAACTTGCTACATTTTTTATATTTATACTGTTATAACAATATAAATATAAAAAATACAAAAAAAATACACTTTTTTACTTCACTTTTTTTTCAAAATAATAATTGTTATTTAATTATTTAAACCTGCACAGACTTTGTCTGAGTCATTAATGAGGATATAGAAATAATATTTTCTTGATTTACAACTTTTCTAGTCTGTTTTAATTTTAATTTGTAAAGTCTTATTTCTCATTGTATACTGATTGAAACTATTTTTTTGTTTCTTAGTTTCAATATGAGTAATGTTGGGTATTTGAAACTCTGGAACCTAATTTAACAAATTTCAATCCAAAAAAAGGATTTTTTTTCTTTTTTTACAAGTGCATAAAATCTGAGGTTTTTACAAACTTTTTTTTTTTCACATTTATTCTCCAAACAATATAATATTTTAAAATTGCATGTAAACAAATAAAAAAATTTTATAAGGTTTATTTCATCTCTCCTTTATATGGATAAAATGTCAGTACTAACTTCAACAGCTAATAACCACAAGTCTATATATAGTTTATAGTGTTTGTAGTAAAAAAATGGCTCTTCGCTTGTTTTTAGTTTTAAAGCTGACAAAATTAAGGTTAGATTATATCAAAACACATTAATTTAATTGCAGGAAGTAACTAAATTACAAAACCATAAATTAAAAGACTAGAATGTTTTTAAAAACATTCTGAATGTTTTTATTTATTTTTAAAATAAAAACATTCTGAATGTTTTTATTTTTATTTTTTAACTGTAAAACATGCGCGGAGTGTTGCTACATCAACTATCTTATAGCCTGATTTGCAATGGAGTGGTGCTACATCGACTGATAAATAGCCTGACTCGCAACGGAGTGCTGCTTCATCAACTGAGGGTTTGGTTTAAGCAGACAGTCTATCAAATAATTAAAAAAAAAAAAATTATTTACAGGTTTTTAAAATAAAAAAAAACTTAAAGCTGACATTTTATGGTAAAAACTTAAATACGACCAATATATATATATATATATATATATTATATATATATATATATATATATATATATATATATATATATATATATATATATATATATATATATATATATATATACAGAGCTTCATGCCTGGCGGCAATCATCAGCCATATATTTTTAAATCAAGAAATTAAAAAAATGATAAAAATACAAATTATGCAATGCAATAAGATCTGACGTCAAAAAATCAATTATATCAAGTCTACCTTTACCCTGTGTCGAATTGACAAAGAAGTAATTTATTTCTATGCCGACATTTTGATATAATTTTAGTTTTCTTATTTAATAAACTGTTGTCGTTGTTTGAAACAATTTCATATTTTTCATTAAGGCATAATTTGCACAATTTTTTTGTCAGCTTATATGCTTCACATCTTAAAATATTTTATTATATATATTATTATATAAATATTAAAAGAAACTAATTTAAAAAGATGATGATGATAATTTTGATGATGATGAATACTATGATGATGATAATAAATAAAAATATAAAACTTACTCTTGGTTGCCACCTTTCATACTGCTCTTGCAATTTATTTCCAATCAGTTCTAATGCCTTTTGAGGATTCAAAGATAAAGGATCTATAACATTAAAAAAAAAATTTATTTTCATTTTTTAGCTTCTAATAAATGCATTTACAACTACAAGAGTAACATTAATTAACTTTCAAAACAATTATTATTATACACAAATCAATATGTTTTCAGTTAATAATCAAATTAAATTACAGAAATCAAATGGATATCAAAAGAAATGAAAATGTTTTGCAAACAATTATAGTCATTTAAGTATGAGAACAAAAAACCCTCAAAACTAATCTTGAACTAAATTTAAATTCATAGACAGATTTTAAACATTTTAGTAATATTTTTCTGTGCTTAAAATTTCTTAAACAAAACTTTCCATTAAAATTTAAATTAAAAAAGAGATTCTTGCTTTCTGAACCAGAAAAATATTTAAAAAAAAGCAGTTAAATCACTGTTTGTTTGTTTTTTTAACATTTTTATTTTAAATCTATATGAACATTTAAATAAATTTGGTATTTATACAACTTTTGTAAATTACCTATATCCGCCACAACCAATATATATATATATATATATATATATATATATATATATATATATATATATATATATATATATATATATATATATATATATATATATATATATATATATATATATATATATATATATATTATATATGTGTGTGTGTGTATATATGTATGTATGTATATATATATATATATATATATATATATATATATATATATATATATATATATATATATATATATATATATATATATTCTATGTATATGATTATATATCAGCAAACAACAAAAATGCTGGATGTTTATTATTTCAACAGTATAATTAAAAATACCTATCCAGCATTCCATCCGCGCACAAGGATTTGTTTTAACAATATCTGGAGGATCAACACCAATATTTAAACACAAAACAAGATTTACGCTTACTGTCTTCATCTATATAAAAAGTACATAAAACTCTTTAAAGTTTGTAACAGAGCTTAAATTAAGATTTTAAAAGGTAAAATTATAAAATTAAATATATTAAAAACTGTTATAAATCAGTTGTTAAGAAATTCAAATAATACAATAAATTAATTTATATCTTTTACAACAAATAATAAGTTTTGTCATCATCATTATATTTTAAGTTTTAGTTGTTATATTGGTTTGTTGTATGTGCTACATACAACTAACTTATTTTTACTAATATACAACCTTTTCTTTCATTTTCCATGTTTGAGGTGAGAATGTAGTTCCTTCTATTTTTTCCTTGTGGCGCTTTTTCATGAAACATATAGGAAGTTGCCAATCTAACACATTATCTTCTTCTTCATTTCCTTCTTCGTTAATGTCATCAAGCTCAACATTACCATACATGGATTCTTTATAACTATAAAGAACTAAATTTTAAAAGATTATAAACTTGAATTAATATAAAACCAGTTGGAATATTTCATACAAAACATAACTATGCTAATAAAATTAATTACAATACTCTATAAATTATGACTAAATATGACTTAAATTCAATTTCTTGGAAGTTTTAAAAAAACTTACACCACAAAAATTATCAATATATAAAATCTATTATGTGGTTCTAATCTGCAACAATAATAAGTTTATTTACAACAAAAGCATATATATATAATTTAACAAAAAACAACAAATAACATAACTAAAAAAATATATATTAGAGTAGTATACATATATTTTTATGTTTTAAATGTCAACATTTCCTAGAAATCATGCTTTTTGTTTCATATTTATTGAGAAGTTTCATATTTACATGGTTTTGATAACTAATTATTGACATTTATTGTTAGTGTAGAGGTTGTTTTTTATTTCATGTTATTGTTTTTTTAAATAGATTTGCTATTTAGTTAAATTAGCATGATAATATTGTATTTTGTTGTTGTTGTTGCTTTTTTGTTTTTTTGCTGTTATTTTTCCATATAGTTAGTATTACATTTAATTGCTTCATTAGTAAAATACCATTTTCTAAATTTTAAAATAAATTTTTTAAATAGACATAGTTACTAAAAACAAGCAACTCTAAAAGATTCAAATTAAAAAAAAAATTCATTATTAGTACTATAACATTTTAGACATTATTATCATCTTCATAATCAATGAAGAATTAAAATGATTGAGATACTTTTGATGTATATTTTTTTGGTGCAACAACCCATTATTAAGAAAAGTTACGAAATTTAAGTAATGATAAGACAATTTTTTTTTTTTTTTTTCATTTTTATATAGCATTCTAGACAAAATTTAGTTTAGCAGAATTTAAAAAATGGCATATCCTAGACCAAGCCTATATGAGCGAGGGTGAATTCTACAAGGCTTAAAAATAACATTGAAATTTTTAAGTTTTGCTCGGATTGACGTAGATAAAAAAATACATTGCGGATAAAGAAACTGGGAATCGGAGGTTTTATCACATTCGGAAACCCTGAATAAGTAGATTATATTAAAATAGATTATTTTTATTCATTCAAAAAATCATAGAAACAGTCTCATAAGATTTTTTTGTGTTGCGCATGTGCAAGTGCCCGTAAGAATTATCTCGGTTTACCGATTGGCGTAGTCGCGTAGTGATAATTTATCTAAAGGAATGCCTGGAATTAGTTATATTATCTATTTATTATTATAAACAAAAACTTTCAACTACGCCAAAAGATTGACGATAACAAAAAACAAATTAAAATAATTTTAGTTTTTATTTTAGAGATACAATATCTCTGAATGCTTTGTTATTATCGCCCATCTTGGCGTAATTAAAAGTTTTTGTTCATATTTACATCATGACCTAATTAAGAAAAAAGAACACACACACACAACAAAAAAAATAAACCACTTACAGGGTTTTGCAAAATTATAAAGTGCTTTATGCAAAATTATAAATTGTTTTATGCAAAATTATAAAGTGCTTTATGCAAAACTATAAATTGTTTTATGCAAAATTATAGTGTTTTATGCAAAACTTCGAATCTTTTAATAAATCCATTTAAAGCATAAAAAAGTTCAAATATATGATTTATTTATATATAAGCTCATGTCATTTAACATTTAGACTTCAAAAAAATTATATTCAAAAAAATTCAAAAATCATGTTTTCTTTAGTTATTTCCAACCATCGTTCCATTGATCTCCGAAATCAACTTAATTCTTCGTTAATTTCACGCATTTGATTAAAAATTATTCCCAATGCATCTCCAATATTAATTTCATTATTTAAAGCTTTTATTCCGCGATATCTTGCCTTTATCATGCTGAAAAATTCCTCAATGGGATTTAATTGAGGAGACCAAATATTCTCTATTTATTCTTAATTCATTTAAAAATTCTATAATACTTCTTGATCTGTGAAATAGAACATTACCCATTATCAATATATGGTCTGGGTTTTGTCGGAAATAATTCATTGATACTGTTGATTGAGATATTACCTTACCGGTTGCTGCATTAACTTCATTTACCATTTCATTTTGTATCAGTTCATTATTTATTACTATCGTATTAAATAAAGTAAATTCGATTTCACTGAACAACAAACTTTTGTTTTTGATTGTTTGCTTGTGACGTTCTCCCTTAGTAGCAAATTTGATGCCTTCTTGATGATTTCTTATACAGTTTCTTAAAAGGTTATTTATCGAATTAAACATGTTTATAATTGTTTTATGAACTTCCTTGGTTATCGTTATTCGACTTTTTCTTTGCATGTAAGGTTTTTCAGCCAGTTAGTCATTTAATTATTAATTACAATTTAATATTGTATTTCAATTCCTATACAGCTTTCTTGGATGATTCTGAAAATGACCTGTACTATTATAATGGCATTTATTTACTGTTAAATAAAGTACTTTTTTATTTTGCATAAAACAATTTATAATTTTGCATAAAGCACTTTATAATTTTGCATAACCCTGTAATTGGTTAATTAAATTCACTGAATAGGTTATTTCCACTTAATAGGTTTTTTAATTATTATTACATTGTATATATAACGTGAAATCCAACATTAAATAGTTTTATAATGACATTTTTGGAACGGTGTAACTTCTCTAATTAATAAACCAGAATTACAGAATTGCAAACAAAGAATTTCGAAATCCTCAGCTTCTTTCATTAATAATATTATAACTACTGATTTATTTGCCAAATGTCTTTAAAAATATATATATATATATATATATATTTTGTATATATATATATATATATATATATATATATATATATATATATATATATATATATATAAAATATATATATATATATTTTATATATATATATATATATATATATATATATATATATTTTATATATATATATATTATATATATATATATATATATATATATATATATATATATATATATATATATATATATATATATATATATATATATATATATACATAAATACATTCATGCATACATACATTTTTTTTTTTAAACTTTATTTAGGTGCCCAAAGAAGTCCTGACGGACTTATCACAGAGCACCGCGGATGAGCATTTAATTGGAAGTTTACGCTTCCTTCCTAACCGATGTCGCTAAACTTGCCCAGAGGTGTGTTTTGAACCACGGATCTTTTGTTTTTGAGGCAAGTCCGCTGCCACTGCGCCACGGCTGCTCCAAACATACATACATAGTAGTAGTAGAGTAGTAGAGAAATTGCTGCAACAGGTTTCCCTGTATAACCTACAGGTTTTGGCAGCCTTATCTACTTCATACATTAATTTTATTCATATCAATATATATAAAAATTTACAATAAGATATATAGTATAAAGTATAAGTTTGTACTTTATTGTTTTTCCTTTATTGTTTTTTTTTTTTTTTTTTTTTTTTTAGTTATAATCTCGATACTTATGCGGATTATTTGAAATTTCTGCATCAAGCTCAGCCTTGAAACTGTTAACTGATGAAGCGCATACAACTTCTGACGGCAATGCATTCCAATGATTCACTATTCGATTAGTAAAAAACTGGTGCCTTTGCTCACAATTTTTAACATATTCTCTAGTCATTTTTAGATGATGTCCTCTAGTTTTTATTTTATTTGACTGCCCAACACGAAGGACATGGGGTTCACTCCATGAGACAATGTCTATATTGTTAATAATTTTATAGGCCTGTATCAGATCTCCCCTAATGCGACGGGTTTCTAAGGACGTTAAGTTCAGTATATTCAGACGATCTTTGTATGACATATGACGGTACGAAGGTACTAAACGGGTAGCTCTTCTTTGTACTTTCTCGATTTTGTCAATATCTATTCTTGATGATGGATTGCTGGCTGCTACCGCAAATTCCAGATGAGGTCGTACAAAAGTTGTATATAGAATTTTAAGTAGTTGCGGAGTCATGTGACTGAAAGTACGATACAACATGCCTAATACACGGTTAGCTTTATTGGTGGCAAAAGTTGAATTGTTATGCCATTTTAAGTCTGGTGTAATCATGATGCCTAAATCACGTTCGGCTAAAGTTGATGCAAGTTCGACACTGTTATTGTTATTAGCTGGCATTAAGTAGACATAAAAGTTTTTTTTTTTTACCTATGTGCATGATTTTACATTTATCGAGATTAAGTTTCATTTTCCAGGTATTACACCAATCGGCTATGTTGTAGATA